CAACACCATTAGCGAGTCTCTGGTGATGGTGGAAGCTACAAGTAGCGAGCCTGACTACTTCAACACCTGGTCTTGTCCCACAAGACCTGCTGACTTACCACAACATCATCTGGTCTAGATACATACAGAAGAAAACTTGGATACAGACAAGTGTGTGTACGATAGTGGCGGGAACAGGTAGGCGGGGTAAACAAGAATCAGCTGATGGTGGCTACCGCTCGCCAAGGCATCAATATCACAATATTTGACGAGTGGTTGAGCGCTGGTCCTCTGAGAGAACTTTCACTTGGCATTAGATTCAAATGATATATACAAATCTTAATGTTCATACACGCGCCACTCTCCTGGTTTAGAGCCCTAATGGTCTGTCACGTCTCCCAGCTCACATTCCCAGCATGAGGGGTGAGGGGGAATAATTATGTGTGAGGGAGCCACAGGAGGCCTGGTCGACGACCGGGCCGCGGGGACGCTAAGCCCCGGAAGCACCTCAAGGTAACCAAGGAGGGAGGCGTATGAGGGAAGGTGGTGGACCCAACTCATTGATGGTCCTGTAACAGAGAAGACGTAGGGAGAGGAATGAATGTCTAGGAATGAGTTTGCAACAAGATTCGTATATATGAGATTGAATAAGGAGAGAGAAAAAATGAACAACCAAAACTGGTCGTTGCTCAAACATGGACTTGGGAAAGCAAACACAAACACTATAGCAGAAGGCCTCGTCAAACGCACTTTGTCCACTGGCGATTATACTGCTGGTAAACCTGTTTGTGTGTTGGTTTACCCTTGTAAACGTGTCGTCTACACGACCTTCTTATAGCTGTGGTACATGGGTATGTCCCAGCATCGTCCCTAAGGTCCCAGCACCGTCCCTCAGGACCCAGCACACGTCCCTCAGGTCCCAGCACCGTCCCTAAGGTCTCAGCACACGTCCCTCAGGTCCCAGCACCGTTCCTCAGGTCCCAGCACCGTTCCTCAGGTCCCAGCGCCGTTCCTCAGGTCCCAGCACCGGTCCTCAGGTCCCAGCACCGGTCCTCAGGACCCAGCACCGTCCCTCAGGTCCCAGCACCGTCCCTAAGGTCTCAGCACCGTCCCTCAGGTCCCAGCACCGTTCCTCAGGTCCCAGCACCGTTCCTCGGGTCCCAGCACCGTTCCTCAGGTCCCAGCACCGGTCCTCAGGTCCCAGCACCGGTCCTCAGGACCCAGCACCGTCCCTCAGGTCCCAGCACACGTCCCAATGTTCACAACAGCTTAGTACCATCTGGCACACCTGCCCCCTCCCCCTTCCACACCTGCCACAGATGCTCGGCCTTGGGGGATCTGGCAGGAGAGTTGGGTGGGAGATGGTCAACTATCTCCCCAGGAATCTGCATAAAAGTTTAGTATATCTTAGTTTAACTCGGCCACAAGTCCTCAACACATTTTTATTTTCGAAATTGTTGTTTACACAGCGAAAGAATCAATTTTATGCTAAGAAAATTGCAAATATTTATGAATAAACAACAATGTGACAACTTTTTAATACACCCTACTTTAAGACTCAATTGTTTCTGTAGGAAATTTACAATAAGGAAAGCTATTGTACAGCGGAGAAAGCCTCCAGGAAAGGTTCCTTCCTATTTGCCGCTCGTGATGAGGCTACGAACACACAGGTTCATCCGAACATGTCCTCTTGTGGTGCAGATAAGAGGTGTAGAGAAGTGTGTCAGGAGACACTACTCCTCAACATCCCTACATGCCAGCCACTGCAAAATTAAACAATTTTTTCCGGACAGAATTGTTAAATTTCTGTTTATTTAAGGATTATTGCCACGAAGAACTTGAGTCAATTAATATTATTATAAGAGAAGCATCCTAGTTGTTCGAACGACACTTGGAGATACCCTTAGAAGTATGAACATTAGGGTAAGATGACTACAGAGGTGAACATTGAAGGAACAACGTACAAGGTGAACAGTGGCAGCTCCCACACACTGCAGTGTTCGCCTGAGTCAGGCTTCGTTACAAGGACACTCGCCACTTGCTGTCAATAGAGATGTTTAGTAAACTGAATGTTAAGTATCTTCTCAGCCTTATGGTCATGCTATTGAAAAATAATGTGTTTGTAGCACTTATTAAGGAATACAGAGACAGGTAATGTATAAACCTGTCCGGCTGTCGTATTAATAAAAGTATAAATTTTGAGAAAAATTCAGAGAAAAATTATGAAAATTATGAATGATGAATGGTGTACAGATGACAACATTGTGATTGTCATGGTCTAATGTGTGTAACTACTGTGTAACTACTGTTGTGCTGCCTTCGTGAGTACTGACAAAATTATATTAATCTCACCAAATGACTGATGATGATGGAGTAATAGACTAAACAAGCCTCGAGTAATAGGCTACCCATGAGGTTAGTTTAGTTCATTTATTATGCACCCCATACCCATCTTGTGGGTATTTGGGTACACGTGTGGTGGACGGTTCACTGTGCGAGGCTTCCACTGATATATGCGTTAAAAATACTATATATGTACATGCACCCGGGGACAGTGTCACACCTCGTACTGTGAGGTTGTGCAGACTAGGAGTCACAATAACGTCGCTGAAGATATGATGAATGGGGCGCATCCGAGCCCTTTATCGTCCTCGTCCCTCAACCAAGATATGATGATCAAATCACAGGCTGTAATTTGTAAGACTTGGGGGACAATTTTACATATGTAAGACTGTCCTCAGTCTCCACATGTGATCTCTGCCTCTGTACCCCCCTTGCACTAAATCTCCGGCTCGCTCTCCCTCTCACTCTAGATATTCTTGCGTTCGCTCTTGCTTTCTTGTTCTGTCATTCAATCTTGAAATTGAAATAAGTTTATTGAGGTAAAATACACACAAAGGGATGAGGTAGCTCAAGCTATTCTCACCCCGTTCAGTACATCGTGTTAATACATACATAGACACACATCACAAACAATAAACATATTACCAAACATTCTGAGAGATAAACATATACATTTCCTCCCTCATTCAATCTTGGTATGGCTGTATAGATATGAAGGAGTGACGTGTTTATGAGTGTTACTTGGGAGGGGCTGTGTGTTGAGTCCATGTGTGGCAGGGTGCTCACTCTGAACACATGACAGACGGGAACAGGAGAAAGGCTCGCCCGTGTAAGATCTGTCCTAAGCTATGCATATCATTAACTTAGCAGTGAAGAAGGGGTCATATGTGGTAATATCAGAGTAGATCAGTGTTTTAAGAAATATCGAAGCAGCCAGTGTTGGCCACTCAGCAGTAGGCAAGCAAACGCAGGAGAAATCAGTTGAGAAGAATAAATAGAAGCTGTTGACCAGACCACACCTTAGAAAGTTGAAGAGACGACGACGTTTCGGTCCGTCCTGGACCATTCTCAAGTCGATATGAGACTTGAGAATGGTCCAGGACGGACCGAAACGTCGTCGTCCCTTCACCTTCTAGTGTGTGGTCTGGTCAACATACTTTAGCCACGTTATTGTGACTCGTCGCCTGTATAAACAGAAGCTGTTTGTAGAAAATCCTAATGCGGGTAATGGACTTTCTCAAGCGAGGGGAAAGGGGTGGGGGGGGGGGTAAGAGAGACGGACGGGAATTTAGATAACTGGTGTCATTACATAATAAGCCGTTTTTCCGCTTGGCTGAAGAGTATGATGATGATGAGTGACAACTGGCAGTTGATATCATGATGCGTTGGTGGGAGTCTCCAGCCCCGTCCTTCCCTCTTGTGTGTACTCAACAAGCTGTTCTCATGAGTCGTTGCGGGGGTTGAGTTTCAGCTCTTGAATCCTGTTTCTAGTCCTTCAATCAGTTTTCATAAAGGTTCCCGAGCCCCCTAGGCTCGTCAGCACAGTGGTCTACATCCTCCGTGGAGGTACTAGGGCTCAATTCCCGGGCAGGAGAAACTGTTGGGCAAGTTTCCTTTCACCAGATGCGTCTGTTCACCTTGTATTAAAATAGGTACCCGGAAGTTAGACAATCGTTGTGGGGTATATCCTGGTGAAGGTTAACAGTTGGCCTAGAGGGACCTCGATAACCTTAAGTACAGGCTTCCTGTCCCAGACTACACTTTTTTTTTTTTTTAAGTATATGGAGTCTGGTCCCATCACTTACTCATTCTATTTATTTACTATTGTGACACTGAAAGCATCATTGTAATATCTCTGTGGCTCATTATGAATAATAAAGAATGATGGGAAGGAGGGATCTTTGACAAGCCGCCGGCATCCTATCCCTGTCGAGGCCACTATAGTAAATGGTCCTCAAGTAAATTGCCACCTGTGTTCTCGTGTTCGTTTACAGATAATGTTCCTAATTCTGTCAGTTATCCTGAGTATTTTGTATGTGGTGATCACGTCCTTTTTCATTTGTATTTTTTTTTTATTTGAAGCCTTCATTTATATGAGGTTTAAACGTCACTGTACTCACACTTGTTATATAATAAAAACTTTACTTGCCTCAAAGATACATTAACAATACCCAGTCCATGACGCCTCGTGGGCGCGAACCTGGGCCGCCATGGAGGAAGTCCGGCACTACATACACTCTGCTAGTGATGGAGTATAAGTAATGGGAGGCTGTGAGACTTGCATGCATCCACCAACTTCCCACAAGCTTACCAGTACACGCCTTGGTAATGATACAGGACCTTCTGAAATCGTCAAATCCTTTACTTTCAGATTTAAGTGTTTTCTGTTCAGATTTAGATTGTGGTTATCTTCCCACACTCGTGAGGATTAAATATATTTACTGATCCTTTAAACAAGCTAAAATAATCGCGCAGAGTATTACAGTAAAGTGTGTATAGAAGCTTAGATGGTCCCAATGCTATACTTTTAACAATATCTACTCCATTACTACTCAAATGCGTGAAAACATATGGCCATCGTAAAATAGATTGACCAGAGCCATAGATAAATACAACAAAAATTAGGAAAAAGACAGATAAACGTAGATTTTAAATAGGTTATTGCTTTTTCCTTGCAGTGTTGGCCTTGGACCATCAGCAGCCAGTGCAACAGAAAATCCATCATCGACCGTTGCAGAAAAGGGCCCAGCGTGGCCCCAGGAGGGACATGATGAGCCTCAGTAGGCCTACACCATTTCTGCCCCCACCACAGCTGCTTCCCCACCTCCCCCTTCAGCGCCCCCTACGCCGCCTCCCTTATCTACTCTTTATTCTATTCCTCTTCTTCCTCACCTCTTGCAGTAGCGGAGTAACAGGGCAGCACAAAGTAAGTCAACATTCTATATATATATATATATATATATATATATATATATATATATATATATATATATATAATATGTGAGAAAGCTGCATGAACGCGCAAGCCATAGATCACTAAGAACTCTTTGGCCCAGCCAGGATTCGAACCCATGCCGTCCAGGATCACCCCTAAACGTACACAGTACCGTGGCCACCGCACCAATGATCGTCTACCATTGGTGCGGTGGTCACGGTACTGTGTACGTTTAGGGGTGATCCTGGACGGCATGGGTTCGAATCCTGGCCGGGTCAAAGAGTCATTTATATAATATATATTATAATACTAGTATATTCCTTCCCCCAGTACTCACCTAGTTGTGCGTGCAGGGGTTGAGCTTCGACTCTTTGGTCCCGCCTCTCAACTGGCAACTGGTGTATAGGTTCCTGAGCCTACTGGGCTCTATCATATCTACATTTGAAACTGTGAAACTGTGTATGGAGTCAGCCTCCACCACATCACGTCCTAATGCATTCCATTTGTTAAATACCATGACACTGAAAACATTCTTTCTTATGTTTCTGTGGCTTATTTCAGTACTAAGTTTCCACCTGTGTCCCCTTGTTCGTGTTCCGCCCATGCTAAAATGATTGTCTTTTTTCCGCCCTGTCAATTCACGAGAATTTTGTAAGTAGCGATCATGGCTCCATTAACCCTCCTGTCTTTCAGGGACGTGAGGTTTAATTCCCGTAGCCTTTTTTCGTAACTCATACCTCTCATCTCCGGGACTAGTCTGGTGGCATACTTCTGAATCTTCTCTTTGAATGACAAGAATCACCCTTTTTCTAGTGCATGACAGGACTTCCACCCCTGGTGTATGACAGGACTTCCATCCCTGGTGTATGACAGGACCTCCTCCCCTGGTGTATGACAGGACCTCCTCCCCTGGTGTATGACAGGACCTCCTCCCCTGGTGTATGACAGGACCTCCTCCCCTGGTGTATCACAGGGCTTCCTTGTTTATGATACACGAACGTGGGATACTTGGCTAAGATTATAGGCATTCATTAAGTAATTTATTATATATATTTTAGTTTATTTTGACCCCCATCCTTACAAAAACATGCTGATGATGTAAGCGGTGTAAGAGTTAAATACTGGTATGGTAATGGATGTCTACAACCGCTTGAGATGAAGATACACGTCAGTGAGAAGCAAGAGCTGAAGCTCAACTCTCGCAAGCAGAGCTATAGGTGAGTACAAGGGGAGAGAGAGAGAGAGAGAGAGAGAGAGAGAGAGAGAGAGAGAGAGAGAGAGAGAGAGAGAGAGAGAGAGAGAGTAACCAGCTTCCCTGACTTTGCAGGATGACAAGCCGTACCCGCAGCTGGGTGCCATCCCCGTCACCACCTTCAACTGTGTGGGTCAGGCCGCCGGGTACTATGCTGACCCCGACACTGGCTGCCAGGTACACTGCCCTTGACGGCTCCTGCGACCGTCCACAACTCTTGACGCCGCCTCGGTGCCTACTTGACTTTAAGGGAACATATGTTTGACACCGCCAGTTGCAGGTGCCTCACTTGAGGAACATGTGCCTGATGCCCCGAGTCGAAATGAAGACATAACCACTATATTCTTAGGTTAAATGACGACTGAACTTTATATCGCGCTTCAGAGATAACTATAGCTTGCACGTTCAGACGATGCCAATTTGAAAGGAAAACTCTTAATGCTGAAAGTTGGTGATTATATCAAGGAATCGACAAGACATGAAGTATGTACATTAATGCGCACAGCTTCCACAGAAGATCTGGTTTACTGTTGTGTACGGAATGTTGGTGAAACGTATGACAGGACTGGTTTGAGTTGGTTTGGACATAAACAGGACTGGTTTGAAAAACATCAAACGAATATAGGCTACACTTCAAGGACTCGCACATTATGAATGACCACTAAGACACTTGAAGGTCGAGGGAGACAATTATCCAATGACTACAGATTCACGAAATAATTTGCCCACAATCCACAGCCATCTAACAAGACAACTAACCAGCAACTGACAACTAGATTAGGATCACGTAGACAACAGACCGACAGTAAAACAATATAGCCACAACACACTTATAGCAGCGGAGGAAATTATAACAAGGAATGAGACGAATTACAGCAGTGAAACTCGTCGAGACCCCGACCAATGGTAAAGGAGATACGACCAATAACACTCCAGGATCCAGGGTAACACTGGCCAATGGTACTCAAGAACCGACTGCTGACTCCATGACACACTGAAAAAGACGACCAATAACGCGTCATATTTCTCCATATCGTAAACATGACACCTGAAGATAATTAAGACCTTGGACTGTGATAAGTATTGCACCAAACCTAAAATTGTTTATTGTCTTGCCATAAAATCAATATTGCAATGCCTTATATAGTTTAGCATTCTCTATAAAAACTTAAGTTTAAAGCAACAACACTAGAAAATTTAAATATTGCATAGATTTGTCTTGTTTATTGATGTGCTGCTCTGTTGTATGCGGTTTTCTATTTTAGTTTTTCAATGTTGCACATAATTGCTAATGTGTTCTTAAAGTGTTACAAGCAATTTTATAGAAATAGGCTTTGATAGCAGTTAGGTTAGTTATTGCAGTGGTGTAGGTAGGCTAGTTATTGCAGTGTTGTAACTAGCCTAGTTACTGTACTGTTGTTGTTGTATGTAGTCAAATTACAACTACATAGTTATAGTTTCCCGGCTTTTCTCCTTTTGATAATTACTTTGTACTTTAGTGTTGCATTAAAAAAAACTTGTGGTACAACATTGTTGCTAGTAATGTTGCTTCTATTGTAGTCATCAGGTCATCTAACACAGTTTAGGCAAGATTGTAATTAAATTTTGTCAATAAAGATGCTAATAATAATAATAATCTAACACTGCAGAGTTACAAACTAAATACAATTTTAATATTTCTAAGATTCAACAGAGCAGTTGTTAGAACACATGGGGCATAATCTTACTGCAGCAAACATAGGAGCCATAAATACTCAATTTCTGCCTAAGTAAAACAGAAACACTTAGTAGGCCATCCAGAGGCTTAGGGCCCCGTGCACAAATATCCCTATAAAAAATAAATAAAATTATTAAGTGTTGCACACACGCAGGTGTACCACATGTGCGACACACTGGAGAAGCAGTACTCATACCTGTGTCCCAACCATACACTCTTCAACCAGAAGTTCATGGTGTGCGACCACTGGTATATGGTCAACTGCTCCTCTGCCCAAGATTTTTACCATCTCAACCACCACATTGGGGAAGGTGAATAGCCCCTCTTCCTCCTCCTCTCAGTTCTTTGTCTGTTATTTGCCATATTTGTTCTGTCGTATTGATCAAACCCCATCATGTGTTTTCTTCAGCAGTTAATCTGTGTCATTTACGTTTTGTCATGTTTACTTTAAAATTTATATTCATGTAAAAAACTTAATATATCCTGATATCTCTAGTTTGCAACTAAACATCTTCATGTTTCTTGAGGCCTTTTTAAATTTAATTATGGAGAATGTTATCTTTATATTTAATTACAATATCTTCAAAAAGATTTTTTATAATAAGGATACTTATCAATCTGAAATTCATAATATTAAAAAACAGCTCTACTTCCAGGAATAATTCAAGATACTTCTTGGACCCTGGTTCAAGTCTCATATTTCTCAAAACATTTTGTTTTACTTGCTGATTAAGGACTGCCCTAATTTTGTTTTCCTGTGTTGCCAGTGGGAGGTGGGAGCACTGGAGCCAACACCATCCAGGTGAGTGCAGTGGGAGGTAATGATGCCAGAGACACATCGCCTAAGGATACCAAGACCTCATCTCCCCTTCCCACCTTCAAGTCATCTTGGCCAGAATTCCCAAAATCTCGAGTTCCGTCCACACAGCAGACCGTGGAGACCACGAGACCCACTATACCACCCTTCACAACACCAAGGCTCACCAGACAACCTCTTATAATGAAGACAACCACACCACCCTTAACCACCAAGAAACCTGTCACTTCAGGCATTACTCAGTCCATCACTGCCACAGGTTTTCAGTATGACCCAAACCAACTTCAGCTTCTTCCCACCCCATTACCCTTGACACAACCCATCACACTGCCCACTTCCTTCACCAGCCCTCTAAAAACCATTACTGCACTACTGCCTACTGCTGCCAAGGCTGAACTGCCCAAACCTATAACACCACCATACCGTGGTCTCTCGCTACCAAACATTCAAAGTCGTATAAATTCACAGATTAGTGCCCTGGAAGCATCTGATAATCTAAACGGCACACAACTGGGAGATAATACTAGTACACGCACTGGTCCTACGAGAGAGAGAACCGACCCGCAGGTTGAGACATCATTTAACCAGACTCCTCGCTCTAAACCACCATTTACTATGATGCCAGGAAGAGTTGCTCGAAGACCTGGAAACAAGTTTGCATTTACTAGCATCAGGAATGAACAACCTCCATTGAGTCCTAAAGGCTTTCAGGGCATTCCCCTCAGACCACTAGTAGTGCGTCCCCCAAGCAACACACAGACCTTTCTAACCACTACACCAGAAGTCACTCGCACCTCCACTGATCAAGTCACGCAACATTCTACACCTGGTGTGCTTGCTGCACCTTTGACATTTAATATACCACCCTTAAGAGATTTTGATGAATTTAGAATTCCCACCACCTTCTTGCAGCCGCCATCTCTACGTTCAATCTCTCACGACTTTGGCCCACTTCAGCCTCCTGCCCACCAAAATACTACTTCCATCAGACATGTTAATCAAGAGTTCCCAACACCTTTATTTACTCCTGGTAGAAACAGAAATTCACGTCTCCGTCCATCCAAAGAGACGGTCCCAGAAGCATTACATATTCAGTTCTCCTCCAGGGGTAACAGAGACTTCTTCATACCTACAGCAGGGCTCTCTCTCCCTGCACCAGACTTGTCGCAAGTGGACCAAAACAACTTGGGCGAGACCCCAGAGCACCCGGATGATGATCACCACCACCACCATCATGGGGATGGTGGGTTTCATATGACAATGGTGTTCCCAGCACCCCTAGAGGAAAGGATGGCAGAGCTGCAGCTCAAACCCGAGTGCCCACGCTGCCATCCAGTGTTTCTCAGGCCTGGGGAATGTCATCCTTGTGTCCTCATAAAATGAAATAAGACTTTTTATCATCAGCTTATAGTACATAATACACTGTAACAAATATTATATAAGGATTACAAAACCATTGCATCAACCCAAATCTCATCTGTTGTGCACAAGTAATGCTCTGCCAATTAGACCGCCAAGTGCTACTGTATGATAAAATACCATCTCATTTTTATACATTTATGTTGGAATCTGGACAACCCAATGAACTTTACATAAAACATAACTATCTTACTTACAAAGTAAGATTTACTTACAAAGAGTAAGTCTTTGTGTTACTCCTGTGACCATTAAAGTACTATAAATAAAAAGCAAATAGCACCACAATAGGCCAGTTGACCATGCCCAAATGACTGCTGTGAAACCAGTCTGACAACATAGGTTATTAGCAGCGAGTATAATTTGACCAATTGGTTGTAATCACAGCCAGCGTGACTGACAAAAGGGTTACCAGCCATGGTCGTGTCTAGGAACATACACCTCATTCTCTGGGGGCTCCAAAGAGGGCCTCATTTAAAACTCTAGAAGAGTTTGAAAGATTTGTATATAAGCTCTCCTTGGGTCCTAGGAGGGGCATGTAAATTAAGTATTTAGCAAAGTAAAAGATGTAAATACCTTTACTTTTCTTCACAATACAAGTTGTACATGAAGTGCTGGATTAATGGAAGCAATGCAAGTGGATCGATGAAACATGGAGAGAATACTGTATTAATGCATTATTGGCATCTTTCCTATGATGAAAATGGTTGCCATATTTACTGTAAACATAAAACATAACTGTATATTTGTATAAAATATGTATTTTTGTTTTTAATCACAAAATTAAACCTGTAGTTTAGAGGTCATATCACCAATTTGTTGCAAAGGTTGAATCTGAATACTGTAAAGCAGAAATTTTGAAAAAGACAGGTATAACAGATCAAAGATGAGGTGTACTGTATATTGGTTGCATATGCACCATTAGTCATTACTCTCACATTTTGGTCAAAAGCACAAATAGGAAACTGTGGTACCTCTTTATACCGAGATACCAAATTCAGTCATATTTTAGCTCATCTTCCTAGCAGAGGTTACTTTTTGCACCCAGCTTACACCAGACAGCTTATAAAATGTCTGTTTCTGTGAGGTTCAGGCGTTAATGTAATGGTTTTATATTACTTTGATTTACATACAGGTCTTGCCTCATTAACATTAATTTCAAGATGCAATGATCTGTTAAGGACAACTGCTTAATTAGTATACTGTTGTAGCACATGTTAGTTTACAAGGACATACATACGGTTACCTTGTGGTGGTTCCTATGGCAAGTCAACCATATGTATTTATTGAAAGTACTGTAAATCATGACAAAATTCGGACAGTGTCGACTGTGAAACAAGGGCATCATCATGTGTATTAATGACCCCTTGTGCATGTAGGCTGATATTTGCTACACTTATGTTTCCACTTTTGCATTGTTTAAATTTTACATGGATTTTGACTAAGGCAGTGAAAAGTTTCATTTGGGACACTTAATTCAATTTTACTAAGTCTTAGGGTAACTTTCATAATGAATACCATCAATATGAAACCAACTTCCATATGTTTTTTTTTATCATCTAACCATGTATGTTAGTCCCAAAGTTTTCCTAACCAAATAAGATAATTTTCAACCATTCCAACATGCTTGTCAAACTAAACACTGCCTTCATGCATAAGCTTCAGCAGAAGTAAACAATAGCTTTCCTTATCATTCGAAATAATGTACAGTATATATTAATTTTATTTATCTAACCTTTCAAAATCGAGATTCTATATTTCAATGAAAGCATTTAGAACTGAACTGTGTAAGCGGTACGACTCTGACCTCTGTTTGGTTACCAGTGTTGTCATTGAGCATTTTTAGTTAGAATTTTATGCATTAAGCACAATGCATGATATAATACAGTATTCTACACAAGAAGCAGACTACTGTAGGTGGTTATATAATTAAAAGAAATAATTATAAAAAGTAGATGTGCAGGTCACATCATAGTTTTAGAATACAAACAAAAAAATTATATATATAAAAGGCTTAAAGGCACAAAGATCTATTGATCTACAGAATATTCCCGACACCTTGACCCTCTAGTTATTCATGTTCCCTAACAGTTACCCCCATGTATGTATATTATTTCCCTGACACTAACACTTTAAGCCTTCATGTGTCAAGTCTCAACACAACGATACATATACATAAACAAACAAGAGCATATTTCAATTCTTCATGTTAGTATTACTGAAAACATAGATGTTGTGTTACACATTCAGTACTAGGAAGAATTGTAGCAAAAGAATAGCACCAAATAATGTTCATGCCACACAGAATGGTTTTTAGTAACTAAGTGATTTATTTTGTATGGAATGATTATTAAATGTGAGCTAGCATGTAATATAACAGAACAATACAGTACGGTAGATTGTATACAAAACTCATACTGCAATTTCAAATTTTAACATTTTAAAATGAGTCAGATGAAGTTTGTACAAACTAAACATGTCAAACATCACTCATTGTATGCTTACAGTAATATATTCACATAGTTGCAAAGACAGTTATGAAGGAGAAATAATTTCTAAAAGGTACTAGGTATACTAGTACAGTAAATAATATAGTAAAAGGTGCTATATTAGTGTGTTATCTAGTACTGCTGGATCGAGTGATAACATGTCTGGCAAAATACTGGTTATGTTCTACCATTGATAGGATGATTATCATCTGGGCCTGGAAGAAACATGCTAAATGTATCAAGATCAGCTTCATTATACAATACTGTATTTTAGTAAAATATATAATTTGTATAAATGATATAATTCAAAAGTACTGAATGAAATGTTTTAATATTACAGTTGCTAACTTCAATTGTGCTGTTTAATTTCAACTCTCATTTTTATGAATTGTGTCTTTTATTTACCGAAGGGCCACGATCGCTAGTGGACAAATGAGGACAGGAAATCAGCAGTTTGTTAAAGGTTCTCGCACTATTCCTGAAAACTTTTCTCGCTGAATTTTGAATTGGAATACTGTACTTAGTTTACTGTGTAGTTGCTGAATCGTAATTATTGTAATTACAGGATGTTTTCATGTAACTGATAATGAAACCGAGACAATGCAATGCTGCATGGACTGAACTGCTTACAGGCACGTTACTCACTGAAGAACAAAACATGTTATGCATCACTTGCCTAGGTGCAAGCAAGTGTATAAAACTAACAGTAATACTCTGCTATTGTGGTCAATTAAATCATATCTAAGCACTTCACACACTTTCACAAACTTGAAACAGAAGTGAACAGAATATTGGCAAGAATTAAAACTTGACAACGGATCAAACTACAGGATATTAAACAACCAATCAGGGCAAGTGGACACACCTTTGGCTAGCTCATAACGCTAATGCTGCCAGTGACAATTTGGTTACCACAGGCTCTAACAATATATAACATTAATATGGGTGCCCCATGCTTCCTCAATGAGCCAGCCTATGGCTGTGTGTTGAGTTGGCTATTGTTCAGACTGTGTGACTGAGAAGAGGGCACCAACTTCCTTCCATGTCATAGGAAGCCAAACTCTGTTCACGATGGTTGTCTCGCTCTCCTTTCCGAGCAGGCAATGAACTACTAGATTTCATATCCATTTACAATTGTTCAAAATAGTGATCAAAAGAGTGACCCTGAGCAATGAGACAAGATCAGAGTGAAATTTGCAAGTTTTTTTTAATATTCTTAATCCTGTCAATAAGAGGAAGAGTGTTGGTGGTGGTGCACCAGAACTAGGAGAAAGTGTCATATCACTGGAAATGAAAGTGTTGATGACCAAACCACACACCATATGAGGAGACTACGACGTTTCGGTCCATCTTGGACCATTTTCATATCGATTGTGTGACTATTATCACACAATTTTAAAATGATCCATGACAGATCAAAATGTCGTAGTCTCATCTTCTGGTGTTTGGTTTGGTCATTTCTTCAGCCACATTATTGTGACATCATCTGCATGAAAGTGTTCATAATAAAGTACTCACAGAGAGGAGAAATAAACACAGGTTGCACATGTGTATGGGGGTAACCCAACTAATAATACCCACCATCATTACAAGGCTACAATTTTAGAACATGTGAAGTGTTCAGCACCAATAAAATTCAGTTACATACAACAAAGTGCATTATCATTAATTCTGACGGAAAATCTGGGTTTGTCACCTTTCCTCAGTAATTATATATCTAGCAACCAAGGAAACTCCAACATTCAAGGCATATAAAACTAGCATTTGTTCAACATTATTTATATGTTAAAATAAAATTCCAATACAACTTCTTTAGATGCCAAATGGGAAATTGCCTTCATATTTCAAACTAATCAAAGTACCTGCATGATGGAAAATCATGAATGTCCCACATTGTAAGTTAAGATCTCCCTGTACCTTATACAATATGGCAAAAATGGACAAGCTACAATTTCAAACTAATGCCAGCTACATTGAAATACAGTACATCTTTGATACAATAATGATACAACCCTCACCAACTGCTACCCAACTGCTGTATAGAAGATTGATTTATGTTTGATATAACACTTATATGCTGGACTTCCATTTAATACAAACTTTTCTTTTTTGTTCCCCCCACCTAAATTACTGTTGTATGCACTAATGGCTATAAACATGCCTTCCCTTCAATATTCTCCTCATCAGAATTTTGCGTCCTGAAGGAGTAGACATGCGCTGTTTCCAGCCGTGACGCAAAATGCGCTTTCTTTCATTTGGCCGGGGAAAGTGGTCTCTTATAACAGTTCGTCCAATCACACCACCTGTAGGGATGTTTTTATAATAAATATGCAGCATCAATAATAATAAAAAACTACCAACATCAAGGGGGCCCAAGACTGTTTAACACTTTTCCTCTACACATGAGGGGCATAACTAGCTGACCTCTCATGGTGTTCAAGAGAATTTGATAAACACCTCCAAAGGATACCTGATCAACCAGGCTGTGATACACGTCAGGTTGTGAGCAGCTGCATCCAACAGCCTGATCGACAGATCACCAACCAGGAGACCTGGCCATGGAGACATTGATTCCCAGAACCAACAACAGGTAGGTAACTGGTATTAGCTAAAAACTCAAAATCAGTTAGGCAACTAAAGCAAATTTGTGAAATGGTCCTTAAGTATTACTGGTACAGTATTGCTAATGAATAGCAACACAACATTTTTGTTAACACACAACAGTACCCTAGAAATACACCTCACAGCACCCAAGATGCACACATGATAGCTACCCCCTACCCCACCACACAACAGTTTCCAAGATGCGCGCACACGACAGCCTCCCATACACTACCTAATACTATATTACATAAGTTGGAGATGCAGGCAGGAGTAACAAGGTACTCCAGTGCATAAGGAAGTACCTCAGCAACAGAAGACAATGAGCTGCTGTGAGGGTTGAGGTCTCAGGGTGGCACATCATTAATGGAGTCCCACAGGGTTCAGTCCTTGGTCCTATCCTGTTTCTGATATATGTAAACAATTTCCCAGAGGAAATAAACTTGTTGCTCTCAATGCAAGAGGCCATGAGATGACCTGGACAAATTGAAGAAATGGTCCAACAAATGGCTACTAGAATTTAACTCCAGTAAATGTAAAAGCAATGAAGCTAGGTAGAGGGAGCAGGAGGCCAGACAAAAGGTACCTAATGGGAAACGAAGTCAAAAATCAAAAAAATCAAAATCAAAATGTTTATTTAGGTAAGGTACATACATAAAAGAGATTTTACAAAGAGTGATGGATTTATAGTTAGGGCTAGTACATACAATGCCTAAAGCCACTATTACGCAAAGCATTTCAGGCATAAAAAACTTAAATGACTAAAGCTTAATACTAATTGAGCATAAAGAGTAAAATGAAAACATGGAATGAAAACATTGCTGAAAAAGCAGCACAAATACAATTCTGTCGACAAACAGCGCTCTTTAAAAAAACAGACATTGGATGACATTAGAGGGGTAAGGTAGGTTACAGGGAATTTATTAGGTATAGCTTCGTTTTTATCTTAAACTGGTTGAGAGAGGTACAGTCTTTAACATGGTTGGGAAGGTCATTCCACAATCTGGGTCCCTTGATTTGTAGAGCATTTCTAGTTTGATTAAGTCGTACTCTAGGAATATCAAAACTGTATTTATTTCTAGTGTGGTGCTCATGGGTTCTGTTACAACCTTCTATGAAGCTTTTGAGGTCAGGATTGGCATTACAGTTTAGCATTTTATATATGTATACTACACATGAGAGAATGTGCAGTGACTTAATGTCTAACATATTCAGAGATTTGAGTAGGGGTACCGAGTGATGTCTGGGGCCAGAGTTGGATATTGTCCTAATAGCAGCTTTGTGTTGAGTAATTAGAGGACGTAAATGATTTTGGGTAGTAGAACCCCAAGCACAAATACCATAGTTGAGATATGGATAGACGAGGGAGTAATAGAGAGTCACCAGGGCAGGGCGAGGTACATAATATCTGATCTTAGAAAGAATGCCAACAGTTTTTGAAACTTTTTTTGATATATTTAGAATGTGGCCCTGGAAATTCAGCTTGTGGTCAATGAGAATGCCAAGGAATTTGCCATCTAATTTGTTACAAATTTGGGTATTGTTTATTTTGAGATTTATTTGATTAGAGGATTTATTGTCAAACAGAATATAGAAAGTTTTGTCAATGTTAAGGGTGAGTTTGATGGCAGTTAGCCAAAGATGGATTTTATTTAGCTCAGTATTTACTGTGGCATTTAGAGCAAGGGGGTCAGGACTGGAGTAAATGAAGGTTGTGTCGTCAGCAAAAAGAATTGGTTTGAGGTGTTGGGAGGCATTTGGAAGGTCATTAATGTAGATGAGAAAGAGGAGAGGGCCAAGTATGCTGCCCTGAGGAACACCAATGTTGATGGGTAGGGTGGGAGAAATTGAATTATTCACAGAAACATACTGGAGCCTGTCAGTAAGGTAGGATTTGAGGTATTGCAGGGAGTGTCCTCTGACTCCATAATGATGTAGTTTAAGTCCTCCATGAAACGAACAGAGAGAAGGATCCAAGAGTCGACATCAAGCTGAACCTGTCTCCTGAAGCCCACATAAAAAGGATATCAGCATCAGCATATACGAGGCTTGCTATCATCAGAACTGCCTTTAGAAATTTGTGGAAGGAATCATTTAGTAAACTACCCTATAGCACCCAAGACGCACACCCTACAGCACCCAAGACGCACACCCTACAGCACCCAAGACGCACACCCTACAGCACCCAAGACCCACACGAATAAAACCAAAGATAAATTACCGTAGCCACCCTGGGTGGGGAGCAAGAGGGTATCAGCTGGGGCGGCGCTCCCCAGACTAAACACGGGCGTGGGCGTCCTGGCCAGGGCATGTGGCACTAACGGACCCATGAACAGTGTCCTGCAGGTGCCATAAACACCGCCCACGATGCCAGACACGTGTGGCACTCGTAACACAGACAGAATACTGTTCATCTCCGCGGCTCCGGGCGTCTGTGTACACTATGGCCGCCGGGTCAACAGCTGACTTATTGCCAGTGTTGCCAGATCTAAGTTGCTAAGAGTAGCGAGCTGACGGGCTACAAGTAGCGAATTGGTAATTAGAGTAGCCCAATTTTTTTTAGTGAATGATATGGGTTTCAAAGTAATATGTCTTGATATATAGAGTGTAAGCGGACTCCGACCAGTTGTGTAACTGCAAGCCTAGCATGAACGAACCGACAATAAACATACTTGAACTTGAAGTGGACTTTAATGTTTTTTCGGCAGCTTTATTTCCTTAGTTTCCGAGCTGTTTTCTTAACCGTGTATGTTGTAATAAACTATTCTTATATTTACAGTTGTTTCTCCCTGTGAAGATTATTAAACAATGGTGATTATAAGGGCGCGGAAGTCGGGCCCGCCCGGGCAGCACCCAGTCTTTAATTTGGCACCTTTGTGGCACCTTTGTGGCACTTTGGTATAAGCCTAACATGTATATATACACTGGCTGCCTGTCCCCCTACACAATGATTTATTATTACCTATTATTTTATCATTTAATTTAAATATTAAATAAAATAATTTATTTAATTATTATAGTAAGTACTTAACAATTTAATAATAAGTAGTAAGTACATAAAAATAATTAAAAAGTACACTTTAGTCATAAGAGATTCCTAGATTGGAATTCACTACCAAATTTCAATATATCCAAGTATTTTTAGTGTGAAATGCTGTTATTATACGCATAAATTATTGTTTTAATAATATTACGCTTAAACACTTGGGCTGGACGGTAGAGCGACGGTCTCGTTTCCTACAGGTCCGCGTTCAATCCCCGACCGCCGAAGTTGGGCAAAATTCCTTTCCCCCGTTCCATCCCAAATCCGTATCCTGATCCCTTCCTAGTGCTATATAGTCGTAATGGCTTGGCGCTTTCACTTGATAGTGCCTCCACCCCCCTGAATAATACAGTCTCCGTGGTGTAGTGGTAAGACACTCGCCTGGCGTTCCGCGAGCGCTATGTCATGGGTTCGTATCCTGGCCGGGGAGGATTTACTGGGCGCAATTCCTTAACTGTAGCCTCTGTTTAACGCAACAGTAAAATGTGTACTTGGATGAAAAAACGATTCTTCGCGGCAGGGGATCGTATTCCAGGGACCATAGGATTAAGGACTTGCCCGAAACGCTACGCGTACTAGTGGCTGTACAAGAATGTAACAACTCTTGTATATATCTCAAAAAAAAAAAAAAAAAAAAAAAAATATTACGAGAGCCGTATTTACGGGTTATTCATGCCCGTGCCACCTCTTGGGTGGCTTAATCTTCATCAATCGAGAGCAGTATGTCCTAACCAGACATTATATGATGATATCTTGAACAGTTGATAAATAAAAGTAATTGCGGAACTCCAGTTATCTAATACTTATCATAAATAGTATAAAACTTTATCATAAGACAAGGGATTTGTAGATCAGTGTTTAAAGGGAATTCGGAGGTAATAATGATACAGCTGATGCCATCTGTCGGCAGAAGAGAACACTATCAACTGGCTGGTCAACAGTGGCCATAAGGTACAGCTTACGCCATCTGTTGACATCAAATATACACCTATAACAAATTACCCCACAAAATACCACTAGCGCCATCTCTTTTTTTTCCAACGCACTATAAATAGCCAAACAGCAACCCATAAGGCGGGTTGTTGTACTCGGGTAGGAGGTTCCTAGCTCCGCCCACAGATGGTATGGGGTGCATAATAAATGGCATATCATTGGTAGATATTCTTTGTTGACATTCACACAACAGCCAATCACAGGAAGGGATCAGCTAAAGGCTCCATCCACTTAATAAATCATCTTTATTCAGCACAACATCCTTGCTTATGACATTCGGCTTCAACTTTAATCTCCCTAAAAAGTGAAATGTTAAGTATTTAAAAGTATTAATAAAGTGATAATTAAATACTGCAGGATGTAACGAGTGTTACAGAAACATGGGCTGGCTACCTAACTTGTGACGTCATTAGAGGGTGTTGCCTTACACAAATAATATTGGCGATACAATGCCTCCGATGGAAATTTCTGTCTTGTATAAAACAGAAATTGTTGTTCTTTTGTACAACAACAACAAGGTTATTGAGCAAAAGGACGTATTTCTTATTTTGCATTTTATTCATATACGCGTTGGCATTCCCCGCAACAGCCAATCACAGGAAGGTATTTGTTGGAAACTGCAATAAAGTTGATTCCTAATGAACTCTAACAATAAATTCGTTTAATAAACGAGTATTTAGGGTCAAGCTACAGATGAACATTATAGGATAACGGTGTTTAAGCTTGCAGCTTCGATAGACAGAATCCCTGGTCTTAATTTTAAAAATAAAGAACTAGAAAGCGTATTTTATTGCTAACTTTTCGAGAAATAAAGTCCAATCTCATATTTGCGAACATTTATGCATTGATTTTTTGGCTTAAGTTCTTGTCATAATCCCTTTTGCAATCTCAACACCATCTGGCTCGTATCTTGTAATTATCTTCGTTACTTAGCCTCAAAACCTTACATTTGTCTTACATATCCTCAACAGTAGATAAAAAAAAAGTAATTGCAGAATTCTAGTTACCTAATACCAGCATGGTATGAAACCTTATTATAAGCTACCAGACGTATAGATCAATGTTTAAAGTAATAATAATACATTATTATTAATGTAATAATATTATTAAAATAATAATACAGCTGATGCCATCTGTCGGCAGATAAGAACACTACCATCTGTTGACATCAAATTACACTTATAACAAATTAACCCACAAAATACCACTAACGCCATCTGTTTTTTTTCCAACGCACTATAAATAGCCAAACAGCAACCCATAAGGCGGGTTGTTGTGCTCGGGTAGGAGGTTCCTAGCTCCGCCCACAAGTAGTATGGGGTGCATAATCAATGGCATATCATTGGTAGAAACTCTTTGTTGACATTCACACAACAGCCAATCACAGGAAGGGATCAGCTAAAGGTGCCATACACTTAGTAAATCATCTTAGTTCAGCCCACCAGTCATGCTTATGGAATTCTGATTTAACTTTAATTTACCCAAAAAGTGAAGTGTTAATTATTTAAAGTGTTAATAAAGTGATAATTAAATATTGCAGGATATAACAAATGTTATATAAAAATGGGCTGGCTACCTAACTTGAGACGTTATTATTGGGGGTTGCCGTGACACAAATAATAATACGCTGCTCTGCCCTCTTATTCGAGTAAATTATTCATTTAGATGGAGATTTCTGTCAGGTGCAAAACAGAAATTGTTGTTCTTTTTCACAACAACCTTGTTGTTGTGCACAAGGACCTATTTCTTAGTTAAAATTGTATTCATTAAAGAGTGTTGGTATTCCCCGCAACAACCAATCACAGGAAGGTATTTCCGGAAGCTCCGCCTCCTTATGGACTCAACACATCGCTCTAGCTCATGGCTCGCTGTTTCATCTCTTGTATATACAAACTATGACTTTTTTCGATTACTGTTATAATTAAATAATATTATATATAAAAGTTTTACACAAAATGGCTAAATTCTGCCATTAAAAGGACTTTGTCTGGTATACATACAAACATACACCAGTTTATTACCATTCATCCATTATTAATTTCAAATGTAATGTATACTGTCTAGTTTTTTTCCTCTCGCCATTACTTGGTGCAATATTTGAAAGTTGTCTATTTATTTATCGAACTATCTATTATCTTATATTTATATTTACAAGTTTCTGTGCTTGGAAAAAAACTCTGCATTGAATTGGGATTAATTTATTAAATAATATTATTTAGTATTAATTAATATTTACAATTATTATTAATTACAATTATTTATAGCTTAGTTACTTTCATGTAACTCACAATCGTACATTCTTAACAGTAATAGCCCAAATTAGCACATCTTGCTGTTAAATTAGCCCAAAAAGTAGCAAGTAGCAAAATTGAAAATTTGGGAGCGCGGGGCTCTCAAAAGTAGCCCAATTCGCTATTTGTAGCCCAATCTGGCAACATTGCTTATTGTTTGGAAATTATTCTCCATTATTTTCGAACGTCATTTTTACAAACAAATATTTCTTATTTTACTATGCTTAAATAAAGACCGATTAAAATATAATAATCATAAGGTAAACCAACAGCTAATTGTCGATATTCTGAGAGTATGTTTGATTGCTATATATGCCGGACAGATTAAAAATCATTATATAAATAAATAAAGTATATATGAATGTTATTAAATAGATAAACGAACAGTTATGAACAAATAAATTAATAATTAAGAACACACTTTGATAGCGTATTATCAACGTGTAGTTTTCACGTGTGAATTTGCATTGACCATTTATACATTAAAATTGTTACAAAACCTATTGTACTTTCTAGTAAATATTTAAATAAATAAATAACTTAGTATATTAGCTGATTAATCTTGTTCGTTCTGGGAATAATATTCAACACACGAAAACAAACGTTATTTCAGGGACTGAAACTCGATAACAAATAACTTCAATTTTATTTATTTAAAAATTTACTAAATCCTATTACATACTTACAAAACATTATTTTAATTATTTATATTTTTGATGACAATGTTCATAATTGTAATCTTTAAACGGAATCTTGCTGTAGAGAAACTAGATAGAATAAGACGGATATAGTAAATGGTGGAGGAGGTGAGGCACCTCTCAGACTTCCAATGTCTTAATGTCTGAGTCTTTCTCTCCTGCTCCAGGTATACTGATGGCGGGCCACCATACCCTCAGCCTGTCCTGCCTTAGTGCACGCCATCCTTAGTTGTCCGAGTTCTATACCCTAGTTGCACTGGAGTTAATGATTGGGTGGAGAAATTGTGTTGCACGGAGCCTGTTGTATTGTTTACCTGCTTGTTAACTTCGGAGGGTGTAACGAATTGTGTTTAGTTTGCCAGGCGAGGCTGTCAGTGCCAGGCGAGGCTGTCAGTGCCAGGCGAGGCTGTCAGTGCCAGGCGAGGCTGTCAGTGCCAGGCGAGGCTACCAGTTCCAAGCGAGGCTGTCAGTGCCAGGGCCAGGCGAGGCTACCAGTTCCAAGCGAGGCTGTCAGTGCCAGGGCCAGGCGAGGCTACCAGTTCCAAGCGAGGCTGTCAGTGCCAGGGCCAGGCGAGGCTGTCAGTGCCAGGCGAGGCTGTCAGTGCCAGGCGAGGCTGTCAGTGCCAGGCGAGGCTGTCAGTGCCAGGCGAGGCTGTCAGTGTTGGTGTAAATAAGGGTACTTCTCCAGCTAGTACTGTATTGTACATTCATAGCCTGGTACAGTATCCTACATATAATGTTGATTTACTCTTAGAGTAACATTACTTGAAGTCTGTAATATTAATAAATCAATTGTAATTTTCCTTGTGGTAGGATACATTTAATTATTTTATGACAATTTAGCCTAATAGTTAAATTGTTCATTAATGAAGAACACAATACTTGATATGAGTATTTGTGTATTTCACATGAAGCCTTGTGTACTAGACAAGCTGGTGTCAGATTGTTCAGTGCTTTTGTGGAGCCTAAGCTATCTTGGAGAAATGCAGGACCCTCTGTACCCTCAAAAATCCAGAACTCTATATGGTGGACTCTTCTAAATAATGGATCAAATCTGCCCACCCGATATCCTCTCCAAAATTTTTATTTCTTATGAAACATTTCAGTTTTTCTTGAGGCAACATGATGAAACCTAGATTATTGGTCATTACATGAAGTACCAGGTAGTTTCCTTCAAATTGTGATTATAGGGTTTCAGTAGTACTATTGGGTTTGTTCTCGACTCTGTCAGGAAACCGGGTTCGAATCCTGGGCAGGACAAAAATGGTTGGGTATGCTTCCTTTCACCTAATGCCCTGTTTACCTAGCAGTAAATAGGTACCTGAAAGTCAACTGTTGTGGGGCTTAGCCTGGTTAATTTTTGTGTAATTCATTGATTTTTTTAATTACAGTACTGTACTGTACTAAATATTCTATATTTAAATTATTGTGAGGCTGTACTGTACTGTACTAAATATTCTATATTTAAATTATTGTGAGGCCGTTCAACCAGTATTCAAATTCAATTATCTTTTTAATTGGCCTGACAGACTACCTGGACTAAATGGTTCAGTTTTCAAGATTTGACAGCTCTCAAATATCAAGATGAAGATCAATGAAAAAAATCTGTGTGCATACAGTGTGTCTCCAACACAGATTGACAAAGAAGGCTACCTCTTGAAGAAAGGAGAGGTGAGTAGCAATTAATTTGTTATTGGGTGTGTTATGCCTCTTTTTCATATGGTGAGTTCTCCAAACATTCTACATGTATCATTAATTGTGTGTTAAATAGAGTTCCATGTAAATGGCATTGGTATTATGATCTATAACATGTAATGTGTGTACTCCTCTCATTAGACTATATAAAATTTGGTATATCTCAGGTTATGTTGTACATAACCGTTTAGAGTATCTACTTCTCGTTGTGATTGAGAACAAATAAGGACAGTCCAAATACAGATTATTATTTTAAAGAAGTGGTACAATCTCTAATAACCTTTCAAGGCAAATGTGCATACGACTTTAACATTAAATTTATTTTCAGGTTAACAAAAGCTTCCAGAGGCGATGGTTTGTTTTGAAGGGAAATCTTCTGTTTTACTTTGAAAAAAAGGGTGACAGAGAGCCCATTGGTGTTATAATTTTGGAAGGATGTACTATTGGTAAGTGTCTTCCTCCAAGAAGTATGAATATGAATGTTGGAGTAGTCGTATACAGTATCATTGAATTAAACACACTATATAAACTTTCATCTATATCGTTCAATCTCTGTTACCTTTGGGAACGTTTCTTTCTTGAGTGGGTGTCCCCCTAAACAGAATTTTCTCCAGATAAATTTTGTCAACTTCAAATATTAAAGATGTTTAAAGGAATGCTTAAAATAACTGCTACATTATTTATCATGCTGGTTTTGTTGTCATATATTATGCAGTAACTACTTGGTTGTTCCAAGAGACTGGGATTTGTGGAAAAAAATTACAATTGTCTGAGCAGATGTCCATGAGGGAGAGCACAAAGTAAGGCACAGGAAAAGTAAGAGTATTTACACACACACACACACACACACAATACATACAATACATATGCTTACATAATTACACAGTATTTATAACATGCATGCTTTCACTCGATACTCAGAACTGGCAGAATGCGAGGATCAGTATACTTTCAAGCTACTCTTCCATGGTGGAGGGGGAAGAACTTATGTGCTTGCAGCAGACTCTCAAGAATCCCTTGAGGCGTGGATGAAAGCGCTAGCTCGGGCCTCCTATGACTACCTCAAACTTATGGTGGCAGAACTTCAGAAGCAGTTAGATGAGCTTAATGGTCAGTATTAATTTTTTTTTAATTGCCCTTTCATGTAGAGGTTTAACTGTATATACATTTGTCTCTTAACACGACAAATACAGTAATTAACAAGTCAAATGTCAACCCTGCTGCCTCTAAAAAAAACTGGTCCCTACTCTGGAATTTAATTTGTTTCAGTAGTCAACTTCAAAAATGTTGATTTATGTATCATGCTTAAGGTACCATTTAGTAAGATAAACTATTTCCAACTTAGGTGTTCATGTTCATGCAGTGTAGTTGTCTGGGTTTGGTGCCTTCTTTTGATAATTACATTTATCCTTTATTTTATATTAGTAAAAATGTTCTCTTGTTAAATAACCTTACTGTTTCCTTCTACCATATTCTGTAAGCCTTCTTCACAGCCTTTGTGTGAAAATGCTTTTTGGCAGCATGTTAAACATTAGTACCACAATATCAAATGTTCCTCTGTTTTGTGTAGACTTATGCAGTCCGTATAATTACTTGAAGCTACCCAAAGCTTCCTAGCATTATGTAAGTAACAAAGAAACATGATATATTTACTCACTATAATGTTGGTGCTGAATGTAGAACATGAAAAAAGTATTTTTACTCTGAAATAATATAATTTTATAACAAAATTATGTGTTTTACCAGTGAACATAAATTTCTATAGTGACAAATGAGTGTTTGATATTTTGGATTATTCAACAGTTGAAATCGTCAAAAGGAAATCATGAATACTTTTAGATAGACACTACAATTAAGTGGATATTATTTAGGCTTCCCAAAGATTTGTAAGACTGACATTTTTCTCTCTCTGCCTTTCTTTTTTTTGAATTATTTTCCGATATTCACACTGTTTTTCCTTAAGTTATGGTAGTAGCTTCCAAGGAGGAAAAGAATTTAGTAAACGAGGAGCCAAGACAGCAGGAGTGTCAGGTTCAACACATGTCATGGCAAGTAAAACACAACAGTTTTGCTCGGCTTTCTCCTTTAAACCACAGTCATCAAATTATGAATCTCATTTGGTAGATAATGCCACTAGTCGAACATTTCATCCTTCATTTTTTTCCCATTAGTACAGTACACATAAATTTTCTTACATTACTTTATCTGTTACTGATAAGACATACATTTGCTAAAGCTGTCAGTATGTTCATTGGACCACATTTATGTGGACCATTAAAATTGTGTTTTGCATATAGATGATGAATAAAGTAAATTGATTTTCTTATAATTCTTATTCTCTCCAATTACTTATTAATTAGTGCCAGAAACTTTCAGTCACTCTTTGTAAATAGGTACAGTACTTATAAATATAAACTACCTCATTTATTTGCATGATTTTGTACATTTGAAAAATATATAATTGTTTAAAATATTGGTAGAATTGTAAGACCAAGGCTAAGCCCCTGACACCACAGCCAGGCCTATTGGTCTACTGTGAACATACCATCCTGCAAGTAAAATTATTATCTTTGTGTTTTCCTGAGCAGGGTACATCATGTACAGAGTGACACGTGATTGATAGATCACGTGTCACATAGTTGTGACACGTGACACACATTTATATAGTTGATATAAATAATCAACTATATTTATTATCAACTAATAAAGTTAAACAGTGTACATAATCACAGTGTATGTTTGCAATTAATTTCTGTGAACCTTTTTTTTTTTTTAATTTCCAGATGCAGAAATGCAAGCAAAAGGTGGTGGTGAAGATAACGCCTTGCACCCTCCCAAAGCACCTCATCGGCAGCGACAAAATCCCTTCAACAGAACCCAGGTGCTGCATGTGTGTGTGTGTGTGTGTGTGTTGTGTTAATGACTTATGATTTTTGTGTATGAATTTGAATTCCAGGGTATAGTGTGTTTTGTATCGTATGTTACTTTTTCTTTGTTCACATTTTTTGTGAGATAATCTAGAAATATTTTGTGAGCATACAATAAGTCACAATAAAATGGGTGAAAATTAGATACCCAAATCTCACACAGCAGAAAATAAAAGAAACTACAACATTTCAGTCCATACTGTACCTGATCATGGTCCAAGAAAACATCGCGGCTTCCTTTATTTTCAGATGTGTGGGTTGGATGTCAAATTTTGTGAGTATCGTTTACTACGAAATACTGGATGAACTAGAATGATTGATTTCTTGTCAACCCTGATTCTACTTGCCTTAAGCAGATGAAATTTAGTGTTCTTACTTCTCCACTGTATACAGTATATACTATACTATAATTATCATCATGTCATTGAATTTTTCTTGTTTTCTCCTCTCTGTTTCTTCCCCCACTCCTTTTATATATTTTTAGCTCTCCATTCTGTGCCACATGAATAGTATGTAAGCATCTCATGATATTATACTGTTACATATAATATCCCTATTTACATAAAATGGTATTAACATTAATACTGTAATTCTAATAGTAATAATATTTTATTTATAGAAATCCAGTATTGAATGCAATGAAACATAACTTTCTAGTGGACCCCTCGGTGGTTTCCTGGTAGCTATCCTCTAGGGGACCACCGAGAGGTCCCTCCCAGTGATTACTTAGTAGGTGAAGGATTTGTATTTTTTTTTAAGTCACTAATTACAATTAGTATTTTGGGTATGTCTTAAGATAATGAGTGTATTAATTTGTGCATATTTGGGGTAATACTTAAAACTACTGCGTGTTTTATTGGTTCTGAAAGTGTGGTTTGTAAGGATTGTCCAGGTCTTTCACTTGCTGACCTAAAATGAATGTTTGGGTTATTCATGAACAAATCAGAATTTAGTGATACATTGTTGACTTAAAATTAACCACCAGTAGATATATATGCTAGTATTTTTTTTTAACCATATAGGATTCTTTTGATATTTTTTATTTTTAATTTACCCCACAGAGCTCTAATGAAGTAACTCTAGACCCGTCATTGGCCATGCGCATGAGAGCTAATACTGTGTCAGGAGGGCAATACCTCACTCCTACAACAGTGCCTCAGCGGGCTGCACCTCCGCCTCCATCCGTGGCCCACATTACTATTAACAAACGGACATTTGCACAGCTGCATTCTGAGTATGGTGTGCTAATCTTGAGAGATAAAGAACTCAACAGAGCCAAAATGGGCAGGAAAGGGAAGCTGGAAACCTTAGAGAAAGTGATACCAAAGACTGAGACTCGCCCAGAAGGTTCAACCCCAGAAAATGTGGTTATGGACCTTATCACCATTTGAAAAGAAGGCATTGTCTTTGAAAGATTTTATTGCTCTCAAATAATAATTTATGATTATCTTGGAAATATACAAAATTCAAGTCCTTACCGAGTGTTAACTTTTAACTATGTAACCAAACTGTGATTCCGCTGCAACTTGATTTTATACACATGCTTAAACAGCTTGCAATTGCCTGACTTCTCACTAATTGCAAGAGTGTGACATTATATTACAGCCATGAGTAACTAGGAACTAACCTTCCTATAATAAACTATGTATAACTTATTGTGAGCTATTGGTGGACACATGAGCTAGCAGTGCCAGTGTGTGGGCACATGGGCTAGCACTGCCAGTGTGGACACATGAACTAGCACTGCCAGTGTATGGACACATGAGCAAGCAATGTCAGGGTGGACACGTGAGCTAGGAGTGTTAGGGTGGACACGTGAGCTAGAAGTGTCGGGGAGGACACATGAGCAAGCAAGTGTCGGGATGGACACATGAGCATGCAGTGTCGGGGTAGATACATGAACTAGCAGTATTAGGGTGGACACATGGCCTAGTAATGTCAGGGTGGACATATGAGTCAAGTAATATATATGGTCTTAAAGGGCATGAAATCATATTTAAGCTTATCATAGGCACCAATTAATCTTTTATCTCTTAGAATATATTATTTATATTGTAGCTAATGAATATATCTGTGTAATGTGCATTTTATCATGATATTTCTTGGTACTGTACTTGAGTGTGTGTGATAATCTCCACCAGAATAGCAAAATGTCAATTTTTGCTCATTCTAAGGCTCGAAGTATTCTGCTGTTGCAGTACTCTGATTTTTATAATCATTCGATTCTTTCAGGCTTCCTTTCAGACTAATAACAAGTGTGTGATCAAATGGTTTTTAACTACATAACCATTAGTTTTGCCAATTATAATTATATTAATTTAACCAAACATAATTTGAGATTCTGTGAACCTACGTGATGTCTGCCTTGTATGTAACATAACTTCAGGAATTTTCTACATATGACAAGTGTTCTAAATTAGTAAATAAGTGATAAATACAGTTAGGTTGGTAGAAAATGTATTGTCTTTTAAAGTAATACTAAAGATTTACCTATTTTGGGGGGATTTCTTAGCTCATTCTGTTTTGCAGAAAATTATCTATAATTGCTTATACTGTTTAATTTCCAATTAGTATGGTGCATGTATAATCTATCTGGTCATGACTATGGTACATACATAGTCTATTGGCCATGACTGTATGGTGCATACATAGTACATATATATCCAGCCATGACTGTATGGTCATTGTCCCTTTCCATTAAAAGCAAACTGTGCATATTTTCTTTTCCAATTTCATTGTTACACTTACAAAAGATTATGTAAAAAAGAATGAGACTTGTATAAGTTCAATGAAAGTTTGTTTTCCAAATAGTCTGAGCATCGGATATTAATGTGGAGAAATATTGTGATCAGGAGAAAAGAAAGTCTAAACAGATTTATTCCATGTAAACTGTTGATTATTTTAAATACAGTATATACCAAATAAAGATTTCGGAAAGAATTTGTAGTTATTGTTGTAATTAATGTTCCTCCAGGCAAATGTTTCACGAAACTTCTAAAGTTTGAGTAAGTTCTTTATTGGTCAAGAGTTCCAGACGAAAATTGTTAATGTTATAAGCTGATGCAAATATTTTTACTGAACAGGGCGAGATCTGGTAAGTAAAAATTAAATTTGAAATAAAATGTAGAGGTAATTTGTTTCTCAAGCCTTTTAGGCTTTGGTGTTTTCTTTTAGTAATTACTTGTTGTTGTTACATACTAAAAATATGAGATAGTACTTGTAAATATTTCAAAATTAAATGTAAAGCCCTAAATAGAGGAATTTTGTCAACTGTATGAAATGTGCAAAAATGTTTATTGGAGCTGCCACATATTGTATTAGTTCCCTATTTAAGGCAGAATACTGTATATATATATATATATATATATATATGGTTCCAAGTTGTTTATTTCTGTTGATTTGTTCTCCAGAGAAGTTTTCTTTCCTGATAAGGTGCTTCAAGTTGAATATCTCGGCTACTTTAATTGTCTTTTTAAGTGTTTGGTCATGTATGACATGTCAATTATATAGACGAGGAGTCACAATAACATGGCTGAAATATGTTGACAAAACCACACACTAGAAAGTGAAGGGACGACGACGTTTCGATCCATCTTGGACCATTCTCAAGTCGATTTTCAATTATTCATTTTCCCAAAGACTTCCTCATCCTAGTATTCTCCAATTGATGCCTTCTTGTGATATTTACGCACTTCCGCATACAAACAGTAGCACTCTAGCATTGCTATAAATTGGTGCAGATGATGTGTTTAGGAGGCCAAGGTCCCCATGGTCCAAGGACTGGATCACAGAGACTTTGACCCCGACCCCCAGAATCAACACAAGGTAGGCCAAATATTATATTTCCAAGTTTTGACCTATTCTAACCCATAGGACAAACGTTATGGGTATGATAAATTGTAGCATGGGTCCTTAGCTAGAGTAATTCCTTAAACCATTAGTTTCTAAATTATGATCAACCACATACAGCACTGAAATTATGAATGCCAGTCAAACTCCTAACCTAATCTCTTAAACTTAATATTGCAGGAGTTGAGTGTGACCTCCATTTTTGCATGATAATTTCATCATTATATTAACTTAATTTAGCCTATAGTGACAGCCTCTCTGTTGGCTTCCTTCCAATATTGCTAAAAAAAAAGTTATCTACATTATCATTATTCTTACTGCCCAGGAAACTCTGCGGCAATTTTACTTCACGTTTCACTGTCTCGTGGTGTTTATTTTCCTCTTCAAACAATCTGGCATTGTTAAAAATCTTCATTTAGTTGAACCTTTCTTCTTCCTGCTTTTAGAATGCATAAAAGCACAAGCAGGACACACTGCAACTCGTAATTATGTCATCTTCGTGGAAATAGACAGGAGTGTTGTAAACTAAGTCTCCAGTCTGAAGTACGTTACAGTATTTTGTAATTTATAGCGACATCATTTAATGTATATATATTTGTTTTATTGCGTGGTAATTTAAGCTCCAACGACGGTACAAAGTTCAGCAAGGCCCCGCGGGCCGACGGTGAACCGCCTGTATGGGTGGCAAGGTAAAGGTTCGGTAGAGGTGTGTAAGGATGACAGAGTCCTTTGCAAAGTATTTCATCTTTTACATAAGAAAAATGACGTAGGAGCACGGGCTCGCAGGTGAAGTCAGGATGAAGATGCAGCAGGTGATATTGCAGGTAAAACTTATAAGGCAAGAGTCTCAGCCAGATGCTGCTGACGAAGGAGCTGAAGCGGCACCAAATGTTGAAGACTGGAGTCACGCGGCAGTAGGAGGTCAGCAGATAACAGAGGAAACCTCATGAAGACAAATTGTATTGCGGGTGTGTGGATCACTAAAATCTGGCGGTACTGAGTGGATCACTCCGGCGGCCACCTTTGTAGCAACGGGTGTCTTGGTCTGCAACTCTTTAGTGAAGTTGAATTAAAGTGTGTGTCTAGTATCTTATCTCTCATTAAGGTAACCAGAGCGAGAGGATATCGAAACACTCTGTATTCACCCAGTACAATATATATATTCCTAATAAATTACAGTGGTCAGGGGGTTCATGAGCCGAAGCCGCAGCCAGGGATGGGACACTGGTGGGTGAGGCAGGTGTAGGCGGCAGTGTCCTCCTGAAGCATCCAGACGCTGCTGCTGCTGCTGGAGGAGTCCTTCATGGTCCTGGTCTGAGGCCCAGCCATATCCTTGCTTAATGTAAACACTGATCACAAGCTGAGAAGCTCCAACAAAGTTATATCATGGCCTATGGCTCTATAGGGGATGGTAAGATGTATTTAAGTGTAAACTGGCTCTTGTGCTCATTGGTATAGAAAGCGTAGGCCGCCATGCAGGGTTCCTGTAACCCTGTATTAGATGGTCGTGTGGCTTATACATGCATCTAACTCCCTGCTACGCTTGTGGAGAGAGAGTACAGTTATTTCATCGATCCTTTGAGCATGGGGAGACAGGTTCGGTGTGATATTAACACGCAGATAATTTTCTGTGTCCTAATCCAGGAGGGTTTCCTCTTCCATTTGGTACCTTGTGGGCCGCTCTCCAGTGCTTACCACTCATCTTCATTACGTTGCACTTCCTTGTGTTAAACTCAAACAGCCCCATTTTAGATCAATTTTAACCTCTGCAGGTCTTTCTGTATCTTTAGTCTTTTTCTACGATCATTATCCACTTAATTTTTACATTATCAACAAAATATAGTAAGGAGAAGATAAGGTCATTATTATAAATGGGAATGTGTGTAGACAGACACAAAAGAAGCGACCTCACGAGCGTGTCACAGGTTGGCTGAGTATCACAAAAAAAACAGAAAACATATCAACTGGTGGTTTGTTTACCTCAACTTCAATGTCAGTCTGGTATCAGTGAGGCACTATAGTGATCCATGCCACCAGTGTTGCCACAACCTGAGTCACTGGCTGGATGAGTCAGCCCACCCACTCTCCCCCTCTGTAGCCTCGCCCTCCCCTCATCACCCTCATCCCTAGCCTCCCCTCATCCTTACGTCCCTCGGCCACCCTACCAACCCTCCCTTCTCATCCAACTGCCCCACCCTCTTCTAACAATAGAAGGCCAAATGCCATAATCCGTATAGGGACGCGCTACTGCAGTCACCAGAACACCCCTCAAAAAATTCAAATTCAAATTAATTATAATTAAATAAAAATGTCAAATTAATTATTAATTAATTAATTAATTACCCCTAATTATTATCCCTGGCTCACACCCTGAACAACTCTTCAGGAGGAACACTGGGACTCAAGAGTAACAGGATACGAATACAAAATCACAATAATGACAGAATTACAACCTTCCTAGATGGTTGTAACAGAACCCATTGGCACTTCACCAGAAACAAATACCTATTTGGTATTCTAAGAATGCGCCTTAACCAAACTAGAAATGCTCTACAAATCAAGAGACCCAGAATGTCGAATGACCTTCCCAATCATGTCAAAGGCTGCACCTCTCTCAACCAGTCTAAGAGGAAAACTAAGTTCTACCTAATTAACTCCATGTAACCTACCTTACCCCCCTAAATGTTAACCTGTCTTGCTATTTTCAAACAATACTGTTTGTTGACCAAGTTGTATAATTGCTGATTTCAGTCATATTCCCCCCCCCCCCTTTTTCCTTTTTCAGCACAATTTATACTTTAATCTCAATTAGTATTAAGCTTTAGTCTAAGTGTTTATTCCCACACCTTGCCGGAAGCGCGTATTAGTGACTTTAGGTATTGTATGTACTAGCTCTATCTATAAATCCAACATTATGATTGTAAACACTAACGAATCACATTAGAGATCTAAACTTATGTTGCGTCAAATGTTACCTAATTTATTATCAATGATAAAATATCGGAAATTCTTGCAATGTATCCATATTTCGGTTCAACAGTAGATAAAGGAAATATTGGTATTAATTATTAGATATATAGCCTAAAATCAAGACTTTCACAACATTTGTTAAACTAACATTCAGTGTTGATAAGACTTGCTAAGTACGCCGTTACCTTAGCTCCACTGTGGAATATTATGTTATTAAACATTATAGTTATCATGCAAGCAGAGCACTGTTACCAGGGATCATTATAATTATATATAGAACGTACAGGTAAATTGTAAAAAGTGTGAAAAAACATCCACTGCAGAGCTCAGCCTGGCACTCCACTCACAGGATGAGTATGGGTTCACAATAACTACCACTCACAGGATGAGTATGGGTGCACAATACCTACCACTCACAGGATGTACAATTAACTACCACTTGCGATGAGTATGGGTGTGTACAATAACTACCACTCACAGGATGAGTATGGGGTGTACAATAACTGCCACTCACAGGATGAATATGGTGGTGTACAATAACTACCACTCACAGGATGAATATGGTGGTGTACAATAACTACCACTCACAGGATGAATATGGTGGTGTACAATAACTACCACTCACAGGATGAATATGGTGGTGTACAATAACTACCACTCACAGGATGAATATGGTGGTGTACAATAACTACCACTCACAGGATGAATCAGTTAAAATTAGCTAAAACTGTAAATAAACTATTGAACTCTGTAGCTCGGTAATCATAGCAGTAGGCCAATCTGTAGCTATAGGTCTAGTTAGTTAGTTAGTTAGTTTAGTTCATTTATTATGCACCCCATACCCATCTTGTGGGCGGTAGTGGAAAGGGTTACAAACAATTCATTTAGCTAAGCAAGTTACAATCTTGATGAGCTAGTTACAAAATTCAATATAAGTCATCACATAGTCTGGCATAGTCAACAGCATCAACAGGCACAACGGACCGTAGATGAAATAAGAACAGTAGAGGAAACATGAGAAATAGAGGGGAACAGGACGGTATAGAGGCAATACCGAGCTGAAGTGGGAGTCAAGTTTTGAAAGGACCGTTTTTTAACGGGAACATGCTAGCTGTGTGTATGGATTCTGTTTATATATGCAGTATATATGTTAATTCCTCCATTGATATATTAACTAGCTCTCCATCATGAAATGAAACATTTCATGCAATATTGATTGAAAATATTAGTAATATTAATGAAAGGAAATGGCTAAAAATAACAATAATTATATCTCTGTCTTAAACAATTTAAGTTAAAATAGGTGCGGCTCGGTGTTCCATACTTTTAAACTATACCTTATATTAATGGTAATCTCGAGGGTATGTTTTCACTATATTAAAATTCCATTATTTACTGAGGTAATTAGATTATATGAAATCGTTGAAAGTGGGTTATACCGCAATTATATAGAATATTGAAGTGGTTGGTCAGGAGTTGGTGCAATTGCTGGTGTTTAATGCAGGTAGAAATGAAGCAAAGCAGAATGTATATAAGGGATTAGGTAAAGGTTTAAGAAGAGAGATAATAGGGTGATAATGGGTGTGTGTGCGTGGTGGTGTGGGTGGGAGGAGAACCATCGCGCCAGTCCGGCTCTCCACCCGATCGATCTCGCGGAGTCTCGTCGAGAGCGAGAGTTTCTCCCACAGCAAAATAATACTTGACCCAACGAAACGAACGTATTTGACGGTGTTTTTGTGCGTAACCTTCTTATGCTATAAAGTAAGTAGTGGGAGGACGGTGGTGGTGGTGGAGTGTGGCAGCAGGAGGGCCAGGAGGGCCAGAGAGGGCCGCCCAGCTCCACTCTGGCAGACAAATAGGTAGAGACAAATATTGGATGACTCATTGGAAAAGGGCGAAGATGGCCCCGAATGTCAGCTGGAGCGGCGGTGTTTGTGGTGAGGGTGTGTGCTGGGGGGCCAGGGTGGAGGTCTGGGTCTGTGGGCGAGGGCTCTGGGGTCATGTGGGGGTCCAGGCCCTGCTGGGGGTCTCGAGGGGTCAGCCAGGCAGATGGTAATTCATATCAGGTGGAGGTAGTTTAGTTTAGTTTATTATGCACCCCATACCCAACTTGTGGGTGGTAGTGGAAAGGGTTATAGAGGCACATAATGGGCTCAGGAACTGAATCCCGTCATTCATTTGGCTAAACAAGTTACAGTCTTGATGAGCTAGTTGCAAGATTCATTGCACAATCTTCACATCAAGAATGGGCTTGAAAATGACCACAAGTACAGTTTCTAAGTTAACCAACTGACATATGTGGAGAGCTAGTGTCGTAATTGATGTGTTTGTCCTGCACACCGCCCCCGTCCGGTGGGCAGCGGTGGATAGGTTATAGTTACTTAGTTACTACCTACAGTTAGCAAACTAGGGATATTTGGCTATGATTTCTGGCAGCAGATCATTTTTAATTAAATATTGACACATCTCTTGAATATTTGTTATAAGAGTTGTCTCTCAAGTCGTGTATCTTTTTGCACTCCATCACATAGTGACAGAGGGCGTGTGAATATTTTTGTTGACAGGTCTACATTTGGTCAGGTCTACATCGGCAGATAATAAAAATTCCCGGGTGGAAGATTATTAGGTGGAGATGAATTATTATAATGCTGCTCACGGCGTCTGGGTGTATTCGCTTGGTAACATTTACGTCCCGACCCCTCGTTTTCGGAGTTTGTATGAAATACGACTGACGTTGTATTATGAGGTTATTTAAGTGACAGACATGTTCGTCTTTAAGATTCAAGGTGGAAAAGATTACTGTTGTTGACCTTGCTTGGAGTGAGAGATCCCTGCTCTGAACACCTGTCACACCTGCTTCCTTGTTGTATCACAGTCTTGTCATGTGGTTCTTGCAGCAGATCTGAACAAATATAATTAGGTATATATATTGATTGTTGCCACCGAAGGCGGCTAGTTTATTGTGCACCCCATACTCATCCTGTGAGCGGTAGTGCAAAAGCATTACAGGGGCACAAAAGGTCTTTATCAGACCTCATCTTAGATTGTTACATAAACAATTTCATCTATCCTTCACACCTTATAGTTACAGAGAAAGTGCTATTTCAAGAGCTATATATTTACAGTAAGTCATCATATGGCTTCTCTTCCTAATGTGTTGGATGTGGTACAGTTTACTTGAAGTGCGTTACGTGGTACCGTACCCGTACTATGTATAGAATCTCTGATTGGTGAAGTGAGCAGCCATTACTGCTGTCTCCCAGAAATTTATTTAACATGTCACCTACTTGTGAATTTGTTGATTCATTATACTGTGTTGGTACTGAGGTGATAATGCTGCAAGTAATGCCAATTGTATTGCTGTTACATGAGCTTAAAAAAAATGTTAGTTTTTTGACAGTGACAAAAAATGGCAGTCTGCCACCTTGGCTCCACTCAACATAAGCTAACTAAAACTAACCCAGCATATCCTAACCAGCTAAATAATCGATTTCTTAACTATATAAATACTGAATATAATTATTTAATCTTTGCATTTATTGTACTCTATATTCTACAATAATTCCATTAATGGATATAATTTTATAATATTGTACCATTCATATATATTGTATACAGTATTTGATATATAGGAGGAATTGATGAATTCCCCCCAAAATTAGTTAGGCCTGTTTTTTTATATGAATAATTAGTTTTATTTTGTCCAAGTGTTTTGATCACTGAATATAATGAAGGATGCAAATTTTTTCTTTCTTCCTTGCAAGGCAACCAGAACCAGTCAGGAGTACTGTATTCAGTGGTGTAAGTTTACCATAACATATCAACTAAATGTTGTGATCGTTATAATTTTGTGTACTCGGTGTATGGATGTCTTAGGCATTTTAAGTTTTGGAAGTATTTTTTTCAAAGTTAATTGCTTCATTACTATTTTTTTTATATATTTTGGCATGCTTGTTAAGGTAAGGAATGCTTCTTGTTATGAAGTTTAAATAGGCATCATTGTGTACTCATTTTTCATAAGATAATGTAAGAAATTTATTTTGTAATACAAGCAGCACTTGATGTTTATTAGAGATGATTATTTTATATAATAATATAGATCAGTTTTGTAATAAAGGCATTTTAAGACAGCACTACAAATAAGCAGGAAAAAAAGTGTTCATTCCAATGTCATTTTGTAGGATCTCTTAAAATTCATATCACAAATCTTGAAATAAACTTACTACAGTATAACATTTTTGTTTTGGTCCACTGAGAAGGTCGATACAAATACCTTGATGTTTTAATATTTGTCCACAGTGCAACTTGAACATTTTCAGATCTTGCCAGAATTTTGTGGTGAAAATGTGTATTAATTCAGATTGAATTAATCTTGGGAAGCATATCAAGGTTTGTTATTTGTTTACAGCAGTCTGAATTTAAGAAGTTGTGTATGCAAATATTAAAACATGTCTAAAGATATGCAGCACACTAATTACTTCAATGCTTGGGAACATATTTCTTATAAATCTCTCAGGTTGAATACTAATGACCAGTAACTGTTTTATCTCTTATACAGTGCTGTATATATGGTTGCCTATTAACAAATATCAGGTCCAGTCTTTATAAAGATCTATTAAAGTTTTCTCTGAACGGACAAGGTGGTTTTTTTTTATAACTTCCAATTTGGCACATGTGAAATATACAGTATATGAACTGTGACCGTTTTATGCCCACTTTAGGTGAACATTTTATTTTGTTAGGATTGGCTGACAGCTTGTGGCTTTATCCTAGTCAGGCTCTGGTGGCTACCCATCACATGAGTAAGTGAAATTAAGATTTTACTAAATAGATGCAGCCAATGAGCATGAGAAATATGAGAGTATGAATGGTCTTAACTGTTCTAATCAATTTTTTTAAGACTATTAGATGGTTTTAACTTTCAGAAAGAGTTGGGGGGGGGTTAAGTCATTGAGCATAGTTCGAACAAATTTATGGTTTGTTTACATTTTGAGTTTAACATGTTCATTTCTTGATACTGATGGCATGTATCTGCATGCAAACTCATGCAGAACTGAGTGAGTTAAGCCAAAAAATGATCTTCATTTTTTACCCAAAATAGAAGTGGTGTTAAATCCCCGAGTCAGGGTACTGTTAATGTTAAACTATAAGCTGTAGTCACCTCAATTATCACAGCTAGTTAAGTGAGGTGAATGTGTGGTGGGTGGCAGCATGCTCACCAGGTACAACTGCTGAAAATTTGAGCAAGTCACCTCTGCAAGCATTGACATGCAAGTCGGATGATGTCACTTCCATCCTAAGCCTTGTATGGCAAACTTGGCTGCTGGGTGTGTGTGTGTGTGTTAACCAGTCTTGCATGATAACTGGCATAAATATTGAGGTAGTAATATTTCAAAATGATAAAAGCTTCCCCTGGTTTATATGGTTCATTGGGAATGTGTTAATTTCTTTAATGAAATTTCTATTGATAAACTGTTGTATGCATAGTAGGTGCTGCAATACCTTGTCTTCCCCATTACACCAATTATTGTGCATTTTTGTTTTGTTTTATAACATGGCAAGAATATAGTGTGACGTGTTATGTGAGGATATAAAAACAAACATTACAGTATATAGATGTGGTGAGGTGGCAACAGGTATGGGTTGAAAAAAGTGACACGATATTGTAACAATTCTCTCTTGAGGATTAAGTACAGGCATTCATGCTCACTATTATGCGATGTAAATAGTCTTGTTTTATTATATTCAATGACCAGAATAGGGAAAGAATTAGCAATTTTAATGGCATAAACAATTTAGTTTGGATTTATAAAACGTTAAATAACCAATAGTTACGGCAACATTTATTGGAAAATGCTCAAATACTGGGGGCTTCACTGTATCTTGGCTGACCCAATTAAATTCCAAGTACAATTTCCTATTATGACTAGTTACTGGCATTGTACTCTGGCATCTTTTGCTGATTCCAGACTTGTTAACAAGAAGGCAGAATATATTATTAGTAGCTATTCTGGGACTGATGGCATTATTCCATATGTGCGTCCTACACCAATGTCATTAAATCGTGTAACCAGAAAGGTACGGTACTAAAGCTTTTTCTAATCAGTTAATCTAATTAATAATATATTTTTTGAGGTGCTACTATTAAGGTAATTAGATTTAATGTTGTCCTGTGTGGAACATCCATGACACCACCCTCAAGCTGTAGGGGCGGGGGGCACCCATATACAGATGTATTACATCATGGTAGATCATATACTTATTAGTAATTTTTTATTTAAAAAAAAAAATGTGTACTGTACAGTATTGTATGTATTAATGCACAGAACTATTTCTTCAGGTATGGAAGTGTAAGAAGTGTTACCCACGTGTTGATTGGTTCCACAGTAAAACCTACGATCATGAAAATGGTTTTGTCACAGCGTCAAAGAGAGGAACTGTAAGCATTAATGTGTTTTCCCAATATGAGTGATTTAACATTGGTAGAGAGCCTCTTGGGACTTGGTTGATTATAGAAGCGATACTGTTTGTTCTTTGACTACCCTCATGCTGTAGTGCCACTTGGTGGTCTCACTACCCTCATGCTGTAGTGCCACTTGGTGGTCTCACTACCCTCATGCTGTAGTGCCACTTGGTGGTCTCACTACCCTCATGCTGTAGTGCCACTTGGTGGTCTCACTACCCTCATGCTGTAGTGCCACTTGGTGGTCTCACTACCCTCATGCTGTAGTGCCACTTGGTTTACCCGTGTTCATTACAGTGACCTCATTTTAAACCATGATAACACACCCACTTCCCTGCAACACCATCACAACATAATATGGTTGCCGGCACAAAGAAAGCACATTAACGTGATAATATCGGTGAGAATATCAGTAGAAGCAATGAGAAGCATTATTAAACCTGTGCTCTGGGTACTCCCAAGCAATATGATCTTCAAAACACAATAACACTAACCATATCACCACCACCTTCCCTCTTCACATTTCCCATTAAAGTATCACATAGCACCTTATTGCTGCCTAAATTCCTTGCTCTACTAATTACAGCACTTTATTCCGAGATATGCATGTTTAAGGATTCCTCATGACGGCTCTGTTTGAAACACTATTGTGTAGTGGAATGTGAACGTATGAAGTGTTTATAAACCAAATTCCCATTTACATTTATTTGCTTGTACAATAATATTTTGGCCACTTGAAAGTGAGAGGAGGTACTGTATTATATATTGAACAGGGTACTGTCTCAGTGGTGTGATATTACAGAGCTGATGGCAGATACACTGAATGCTCACTAATTTGACCTTCACTAACCTGGATCACCTGGTAACTCTGGGCCAAAATTATGTTTTGAGTTAGTGTTTTCATTAGGACAAAGTTAAAAATATGGGGCTTGGTGAAAATGAAAGGAAGGAAGACATGTATGATTGGGCTAAAGTTTAGTGAGAGGTTAAGCAGTCTTCTTTGAATGATGATTCTTGGTGCCTTCTTTTGATTATTAATTTGAAAAATGCTTGAAGAAAAGGCTGAGTTTCAGCTAATGACCTTGAAGATTCAGTAGTTAGACTGGTTAGAAAGTGATGCTAATGACCCAGGTTATTGTATAATGTCTGAAGATGAGTTTGCTCAGATCATTACGAGCATGGTGAAGGAATGTGAATTGAATTAAAAGTAAGTGTTGACTCCAAAATATTGATAAAATTATGCTTCCAACACCGACAACTCAGATGTTGAAGTTTATGCAGTAATTTATGCAAGGTAAAGAAGTGGTCATCAAGGAGGCCAATGAAAAACCAAAGAAAAAAAGGGGGCAAACCAAAATAGATGCATAATTGATAAGATTTTCAAGTGAAGCTTCAACCTGTAAAGCCATGGCATCTGGCAGTGAAAACCAAGTTTGTCGGCCACTTGTTAGTTTATACAAGGGCTGGGTAACACTGTAGGTTAAGTTGCTAATAGGCATGTTGTATATTATTTGATGTCAAAATATATTACAGTATTAAAGTCCTTCAGTTCAAGTGTTTATTGTACATGCTATATTTCTGAACCCTAAAGTTAAGTGCAATACTGTATTCAAATTTGAGGATGATAGACATCTTTGAACTCCTCCAAAATTAGAATTTATTTGAGTTAAATTTGGTTAATGTCTGTGAAGAAGTTGACATGATGTAAACCTCTTACTAATGCACATTACAGTGTGAGGAAATCATTTATATTTGTTGCAGTCAAATAAAAACACAAACAGGAATTGAGTAATTTGGATCTGCACGTTTCCAGATTGAAGTTGATCCCATGTGGTCGGAAATAAGGGGCATTCAGTGTGTATCGGTGCAGCCTTAAAAATTACTAATGGATTAATATTTTATTTTAGTTGGAATGTTGACATTTTTGTAGTTAAATGTTTATATTTCTCTTCTTTAGGAATAAAGCCATAGCTGACTATTTATGCAGCAATGGCTACATGGATGCGTTGGAAGCCTTCAAGAATGAGGCAGACATGCCAGGCGAGATTGAAAGAAAATATGCTGGGCTTCTTGAAAAAAAATGGTGCTCAGTTATTAGACTTCAGAAAAAGGCAAGTACTGTACTTTTGTATTTGTTTGTGTACTGTACTAGAGTATTACATGCAATACTTCTGACATTACCCACTTCAGTGTGAAAAGATGTTACCCCTTGAGATCCCTAAGCACATACTTAACATTGCCTGATGTATGTTAAATTCATTGCTGACATTAGTAGGGTTTTCTAGTGATTTTTAACCCTCTATTTCAATCTTAACTGTTGATGTATAACACTCAAATCTATCTTAGTACTAATCAATACTGCCTTATGTAAGGTTCTATTTTGCCTTATATTAGTTTTAAATCATATTTATTAAGTGGACTTGTCCTTTAACTTTGTTTATGTGGGACTTTTAAGATCTAAATACTGTAAAACCAAAGTAATTTGAATCTAATTGCATATTTTTTTTTTTTTTTAGGGATATTCCTGTGCGGGCCCTAAGCCTCTGGCTGGCCCACTAAGTATTCTTGTTTCTGTTTTACTTGGGCAGAGTATGAGTATTTATACTCGTAATTGCATACTTGACATAGACATTTTAATTAAATTGGTTCCTGTTACTCATAACTGATGAACTTGAAATTTGCTACTCTTTAAGTATTATGGCAAAAGTCATTACTGAAACTTGGTAATATATGCAATTGCATTTTTGTGTTTTTTTGACACTGCTAAACCTAGGGAGGAATTTTTTGGGCCATTCTTGTTTATGCCATGTGCTTCATGAAGATTTACAGTAAAAAGAAGCGTAATGAACGAGTGAATTAAGTTGTTAAATAATTTCAGTTTATTTAATTACAGTATGGTAGACTTGAGGGGCAGGCATGGCTTCAGTTAATGGTTACTTTTGTCTTCCATCGTAGGTAATGGAACTAGAAGTAAAGTTAAATGAAGCTGAAAGGGAATACATTGCCGGTGCTCCCACGCGAGACAAACGATCGCCGTCCGAATGGATTCCACGACCCCCAGAGAAGTACAGCCTCACAGGGCACAGGGCACCAGTTACAAGGGTAAGAACTCCATTGTTTGATTCTCATATTAGTTTATTATTGGACTCGTTAGAATATAATCCTGTACTAACGTCACACACGCACACAACAGTGGACAGTGAGACTACAAAAAATACTGTATAAAACTTTTTGAGTTCAGCTGTTACTTTGTGCTTCAGGTATCTGGATAGTCTGGGGGCTCAATTTTTATTATTATATTTCTAATAAGAAAAGACACTTCCCAATACTGTATACTTTACCAATAAAAATATAAAAAATGGTTTGTTCCATATATACCAAAACATTAATCTTCATTTTTAATAAATAGCTAAAGTAGATAGCTATTTATTAAAAATAAATATAAAATAAAATAAAAATAAATAGCTCCCCATTTCATAAACATTGTCCCTTAATCCCTTAATGTGCTGCTCTTCACACAGATAGTCAGACTTTTCTACAATTTGATGATAACTTTACCTCTAAGAAAATCTCTTGTCTTTTGAGCAGTTCTTACTGTCAAGTATTTTGTCTTGATCATATTTAAACTTAAGAGTAAAAGATTGGCAAGAAATTGTTAAATTAATGTAACTCGAATCTGTTTTTCAGGTAATTTTCCACCCGATGTATTCAGTGATGGTGTCATCAAGTGAAGACGGTACTATCAAGGTTTGGGATTACGAAACTGGAGATTATGAAAAGACATTAAAAGGTCACACTGATAGCATTCAGGACATAGCATTTGACCATAGTGGCAAGTTCCTAGGTATGTGTACAAATGTCAACATGTGTGGAGTGTAGTAGTGTTTGTTAGGTTGCTGGTTGCTTGTCCATGATGCTCTTTGTGAAAAGGGCGAGAATGGGCAGATATCCGTTTGAATCTTTCATATGTTAAATCCTCTTTATTTTCTCTAATATTCCTCCTTCCTTGGAATGCTGCATTTTCTTCTTGTAAGAGGTGGGGAGGGGGGGAGGGAGCTGGGAATTGCATTCTGATTAACTAGAGAACAATTCAGGGTTGCTTGCTAAGTGTATTGGGTTGACCTTAATGATTGTAATAAAGTACCTAGGTATCTCAAATCTGGAAAATTCAGATCTGAATTTGTTTCTGTTACCATTAAATTTGTCTACTCAAAAAGGATTCAAGACTGCTAGTTATTTGATATTTCTTTTTTTACTTTTACAAAATCACCCTTATAATACTAAAAAAAAAGGTCTTTATTTTTACAAAGATTTTTACAGTCACCCTTGTAATACTTAAAAAATTTTGGAAGGCAATATAGCAGAGGTATCTGATGTATTGTGGATAGATATCTTAATTCATAAATATCTGTATATACATAATTACTTTAATCTGCAAAATTAATGTTCATTGTACTTACACACGATGCTAATATGTTGTTAATTATAATGGAATAGTTTTTCTAGTAATGATCATACATGTAATAATTTGCATATTATATTTATAATGCAAGCATGCCAGATGCATTTCTTGATTACCAAAGTATTGCATAGTATATATGTTCTCTTTATTTTCCCCCAGTCTCATGTAGTGCTGATATGTCAATCAAACTGTGGGACTTTTCATCATACGAGTGTGTCAAGACGATGCACGGCCACGACCACAATGTGTCCTCGGTCACTTTCATGCCCTCGGGAGATTATCTCTTGAGTTCCTCCAGAGATAAGACCATTAAAATGTGGGAGGTGGCTACAGGGTGAGTGTGTGTTAATAATAATGATTGTTTTGTTTACATTTTATTGTGTACTGTACTTGTCTGTTGTTAACTTTGATATTATCTGCATGACTGTTATCTTCACTCTCACTTTTTAGTGTCAAGCTTCCTCTTGTCATAATTATCTTGTGGCTTAATTGGACAGCCTAAAGTGTCTGCCCCATATTTGTTTTTCCACTCATGAGGTAGGGGAGGCAAAAGGGCTGAGAACTAGGTAATGGGTATTAATACAGTTATGATTTTGGATTGCACTAAATTTGGTGAACACAGTTCGTTCCTTGAGGTATTTCGTACGACCTGGTATTGGTCAAAGATTTAGGTATAAGACACCCCTGTAACAAATCTCTTCATAATAAACACAACTCTTTTTCTACTTGATCTCTTATTCTCATTGCTTCTCATGTGTCTACAGCTTCAATGCCTTAGCTTTCTGCTATAGGATGGCCACAACAGATGTTTTTTCTGGAGACTCTTATCTCTCGCATACACACTTCCCCCTCTTCCCCACCTTCACACTTTGTTGTTCTTTTCATCTTTTCACCTCCAACATACTAGTCATCTGTTTCTATCATATGATTCCTTTATTTCACCCTTTAAACTATATTCTTGTTAACAATTCTCAGGCATTCTATTAACATGTCCATTCCATCACGATGTCTTGTGCTTCTCACACAACTACTCAACATTTTAATCCCTCGGTCATTTAAGTCGTATCATATCTCGTACTCTCTCATTTCCATTCCCATACCACATAAACCACCTGCTTTTCCTAAAGATTTAATTCCTACTGTTTGTACTCTTGAGCATTCTACCCCTCTCTATTCCAAGGTTTCAATTTCGTATGTTAGGCTTTGGAAGTAGTATGTCTTGTGTCTTAACCTAACTTTCTTTTATTAACTGTACTCCTTCTCCTAGCCCCCTTCTCCCACTCATTATCCTCTTTATTTCATGCCATACTCCCATTTTTATCTAGCACTGCTTCCATGTATTTAAAATTTGCTGCCTTTTCCAGTATAACTTCCCCCACTTCAAATTGCCATGTTCTGCTACTATAGGGCTCTACAAAATCCACAACATGCCATTTTGGTCTCTCAGATGGCATAACATTGCTTAGTAAAGTTTGTGCTTGGCCCTTTAGCTTGAACCTCATCATGCTCCTCTTCCATTCCTCCCCACTACACTTCAGAAACTTGCAACATATGTTAAGTCGCCCTTGAGAATGTATGTACGCTGAAGGAACTGGCATAAAATTTAATATACTGTACTGTACCTTCATCTTGTATTTTATTATATTTCTCATGTAGCAGGATCTTCAATTTTTTTGTAGCTTTATTAACTTTAGTTCATTCTTATTTGATACTATATCAAAATTTTGTATTTTCACCCTCAATAATGAGGGTGAAATCATTTATATAATTATTCTGGGTCATATTACAGAAAGTGTTCACAAATTTTCTCCTACAAGTACAGTATAAGGAAATGTACATAATATTCCCCTTGTTTCCACTGTCTCTTGTTTACTTTCAGCTTATACTCACTACTAGAGCAAATACGGTACTGTTGTTATCAACCATACAAGTATATATATATTACAAGATGATTAATTAAAGTGTTAAAATTTAAACTTGTATGCCGCTATGATAATAGGGATTAAGTTTTGTCGTTTACAAGATTGTCTTGACATAATGTGTGGGATCTTGGTAGCATATTGTTTGTAAACAGTTCATGGTGGGCTTTCATAACACCTTGTTATTATTAGAGCTTACTTATGAATGCCATTCTACCCTTGTGGCAGATATTGTGTCAAGACATTTACTGGACACCGGGAGTGGGTGAGGATGGTACGAGTGTGCAATGATGGCTCTCTCATTGCATCGTGCTCCAATGACCAGACAGTACGTGTGTGGCTCACAGCTAGTAAGGAATGTAAGGTAAGAAGCATCGGGAAAATTTATGCTGTATCACAGGAATACTTTTAATATCAATTGGTTGTAGGTTATTCTTGCAGATGAAGTACTGTATATGCAATTGTTATGCAGAACTTTCATTTCAAGTTTCGTTTTTTATTAACAAGCTGAATTTGGTAGTTTGAATTACAGTAGAATACAATAATTGTAATTTAACAGTTATTTGCATATTTTACTAATATACTTATAATCAGTAATTATAATCGATAAACTTATTATAATCTCTCTCTTAACCCAAAGTAGTGGTGATAGGAGAGCAAATACACACAGGTAGCATACAAACACACCCTCCCCCTCTTAATTTAACATATCTTCTACACTACACTACACACTGTAACATGATGAAGCATATGCTGTCACTCAGGCAATACATTTATAGCAGTACCCCAACCCTTGCATACAAACGCATGTTAAGTGCTTCTTATTAGTAATGTTTATTCAGACGGATTCCATTTAGCATTATTTTCTTCCACTTATCTATCTGATACCTTACTCCCTCCTGGGTGCTCCCCATAGCAGAACCTTCCGAGGGCTCTTTATCACCACACAAACATGTTGTTCTCTCAAACTCTCGAACCCTTCCCCCCCCCCCCCCCCCAGTCTTTCATATACTTATTATTGCACACTTCTCTTCAGAGATGTTGGCATCTTTCTATATGCTTCATTTATTACCCCTGTACACCTTTCTCTTTAAAGATCCTCAAGCATTCTACCGAGATGTCTGTACCACCTAAGTGTATGTGCTCTTCGTACTCAATCCCTGCTTCCATACATTCATCTTGTCTATTTCCTTGGCCTTTCACTCCATCTTCTTCACTGTAAAACATATTTACCTGCTATATCATATGCACTTTTTCATTCTTCTCATGATAGAGCTGAATGACTGCCCATCCAAGTACTGTACTGACTTGGCTCAAATCCCAGAATTATAATAATAATTATAATAATAATAATAATTTCATTACATTTTAACTTCTAACTACACTGAAACATGGGTTGTGAAGCTTTCTTGGGAATTACCCCAAATCTAAATGTTAAAATATTACCCTCCCAGATTTCAAAGTAAAAAAACAACGCTTGGTGGGGTTCTGGGAGTTGTTCTACTCCCTAAGCCCGGCCCAAGGCCAGGCTTGACTTGCTAATTGTAATGGTAAAAAACAAGGTAATGCTAAATGCTCTTAAAATCAAGAATAAACTCGTCACAAAATCATGAATTAAGACCTAAAAAGCTACACATGTCATTTTCTTACATTTTCACAACTGGCTTGATATAAACTACAGGTTCATGACAATTTTAAAAACTTTTATTTAATTTTTTTGTGCCTTCATTGCCCCCAAATTAAAATTTTTACTGTACAGTATTTGGGATAATTTACTTTTTCCCTATCGTTCAGATCTATAACTATAGATTTTATATTGATTATTTATTGATGCCATTTTTGTTCTTTAGGCTGAACTGCGAGAGCACGACCATGTAGTAGAGTGCATTGCGTGGTGTGAGGGCAATGCCTGTGCGGCTGTGAATGATGCAGTTGCGACAGATAACCGCAAGCCCAACTACCAGGGTCCCTTCCTGATATCTGGATCACGAGACAAGACTATCAAGGTGAGAATCATTCCTTGAAGGTGATATTTATCCTTGATAGTAAACAGTGGTTTTGTTTGGTATGCTTGAACTTTAATAGAATGCACAATAACAATTTAAAATGTGTTGCAGTTGGTGGCATTATTAATACTTTAGCTGCAGCATTGTAAGAGTGTCGCCAAATTCATAACATTGGCATATTTGTTTTAATGGACTGTACTGTATTCTATAGCATATGCTTTCTTGATGCACTTAGTTGCATCACCAATAATGTAAAGTGTCTTGGGCTGAGAGTCAAGTCTGGTGTGAATGGAAACTTACTGTTAGCAAATATTAATTCATTAAACATATATGTGCTTCTTCATATTATAACTGCTTGTGAGCAGTAGTTCTGTGTGCAACCTCTCCTCAAAAATAGCCCAAAGCAATTTCTTACAACTGATTTTCCCTCTGTTTATGAATAAAAAGTACTTCATATGTCTCAGTTGTTGACATCTTTTCTCATAGCTTCTCTAACTTTGAATATTCAAGTGCACTTCTTGAAGTGATTAACACTTTAGGCATTTAACTGCACAACTAATAGGTTAAACATGTTCCCTCTATTTACTTTTGATTTTCTAGGTTACTTTATTTTATTTGATAATTACAGGTATGACCGATTTTGTGCTCTATTTTATTTACTTTCCCATATATTTACAGGTATGGGATGTAGGCATTGGTCTGTGCCTCTTCACACTTGTAGGACATGACAACTGGGTCCGAGGCCTGTTAGTACACCCTGGTGGCAAATACATCCTTTCTGCCTCTGATGACAAAACAGTTCGTGTTTGGGATATTAAGAATAAGCGATGCCAAAAGACTCTCGATGCTCACTCTCATTTCTGTACTTCATTAGGTAAGTATTTTTTTGTTTAACCATTGACTTCTTTTTACCCATTTTTCCCAATTGTAGGGGTGCCTTTTTATTTTAGGAAGAATATGATACTGAATAGTCTAATCATTATTAGTACCCACAATGAGAAAAAAATCCAAACTAAACAAAAAAATCCAGACTTTTGCAAAACCTCATTCTTCATAAGATGTGTATAGTAATCCTAATGAGTCTTCTCATACAAACATTGCCTTTAACTCCTGCTTCTTCACACTCATTCATTATGGCTGTCCAATTTTTCTGCCTTACCCTTCTTGTGAAATTCATTCGTACTTTACTCAGTCTATCACCCATTTATTCATTAAAACCAAACCATCTTGGTATGCTGTTTTCAGTTTTAATATTTATCGCCTCAAATTTCACATCATTCTAAGAGATTTTTATTCCGTACCACTGCCCATGGAGCATTATTTGATGAGGTGGTTTGTATGTTCTGATGACCAAAAAGGCAGTGTGTGGGTGGCTTGTGAAACCACTCTTCTGATCGAGAGACAGACTAAAGTGTTTTTGGATCACAGATCCTTATTTCCTCTAGTTTGACTCCCGCTGCAGTTGATTAGAGAGATCTGTCCCTTACCCCAGAAAATTGCATTTGTTGTAGCATCAGTGATCTCTCTTTAGATCCAGAGAAAATAGTCGATCATTTCTTATCCTTGAATGTTTTCCGAAAACTTCACGATATACTGTACAGATTTTTAATTTGTTACTCGAGTTCATCTCGATCCATCTTTGAAGGTAGACACTTTCTCTTTGGTGCAGCCACAACCACCACCACTTCATGCACATTACCAGCTTAGTCATTATAGTTTTCTTGAGGTAATTATACTCTACTTGGTAACCCATTGCAGCACCTGGTAATAACTGCTCCCCCATATACTCGTTACTGCATCGTGCTTGCATCCCTAATCCCTAAGTACATTATATCAGAGACGAGCTTCTTGATTCTCCTAATGCGATGACAAAATATCTACCGCTTTCCTTTTTTTTTTTAATCTGTATTCGTAAATACAAATATTCATTATGTTCAATGTTTCATAGTACAGTACTGTACAAGCAAATTGCAAATGGTACTTCATAATCCTGCTATTGTGCCTAATTTTTTGCATGTTAAGACATTAATTCTTGGTCATGAATGTTGAGTTGGAGTGGATTTTATATTCTTTTAAAAGCTTCCCTTTTACATCCATGCTTCAGATGTTGAAAAAGTTATCAAGATGGAAACAATTATTGCAGGATTAGGTAAATAATTTAAGTTTAGGTTTTAATTTCACTTGTCCATTCACTTAGATTAGTAATGCCTTCTGCATCTTGCAAATTTCCCATTCATTCCCTGATGTTCCAAGTACTCGTCTATTTGTGCTTGCGGGGGGGTTGAGCTTTAGCTCTTTGAGTGGTTGAGTGTTTCCTTCATTTGTCTTAGTGTCCCTTCCATGTCCTATACAGTTTTACTAGTACTGTATAGCACTTTTCCTAATAATTGCCATGACTCGTCTATACCTTTCCGCAGATATGCACCGGAGTGCGCCATACGTAATCACTGGCAGTGTGGATCAAACCATTAAGGTGTGGGAGTGTCGCTAATTCGAAGGTGTGTGAGCAAGCCTCGCCCACCTCTCCCATCAACCTATTGGTTACCCCTTCCTCCTACTGCATTCTGCCATCACTGCTAGAGATATTGATGCTGCTGCTCCCACTCTACCTACAACTGAGCTACTGCCTCTCGTCAACTCTTCCAGCGGTTCTGCCACTCTTGTCCATTCCTAGGTTTATCTTGTGTGGTTGATGTCACGTTCCATCACCACAAACTATTTAGAAGGTAGAAGGTGACCAGTGTGCAGTAAGAGGCAAGTGGCACAATGTGTGTGTGGGAGGAGAGACCCCAAGTAATTTATTATTTTAATTTATTGTTAATATCATGGATGTTATAATGCAAGTACCACCTTCTTGGCAGTAATTAGGGCATGGTTACCAGAAGATGGAGAAGCTCTAGGGTGTGTCCAGGGTGGGTATATAGCACCTGTGTATAGCTGCTTTTGTATTGCGCCTCTTAACATGCACGCATGTGACAGCTGAGGCACTAAACTGCAAAGAGGGCCTGAAGGACGGAGTGAGACGTCCAACCTAGTGATGCGTTGCTAATCGTTCATTATTTTTACGCCAAAGAAGAGAAGAGAGGTGTTTCTTAAAAACCAGTGAATATTAACTTGAAGCTCATTTGTATTTCAGGTGTTACCTGTGATTCATTACCAAGTGTTCAAAGCAAAACTTGGAGGATCGCAAAATTATTTACATTTGTATATACATAGTAGAAGCAAATAGTTACCCAAACGACAACTATATTGTATTGGAAATGAAAACTGGAAGTTAAGGAAGAATGTAGGCAGCAGTATGGTGTTGCTCCGAGTGTGCTGTGTGTCAGGTGGGCGTGGCAGGCTGGGTTTGACTCCTTCCTTCAATAGTTGAAACTTAATGTACATGGGAATTTTTCTTACTCCAATCAATTTCTTTGTAGTGTATATATATATAAATTTAAGCATTAAACTTGGTCAAAAGGCTAAAAATGTGGAAGACAGGATGCTTCACTATATATAAGCAGCCTGTTGCACAGCACAGGACAGTAACATACTTGACCTTGATGTTGGAGTTCAGGAGAGGCTGAAACAGGCGGTCTGGTGCTACATTTGGTGTTTACCTGCTTAATTTGTCTCTAGAAGTAACTGATGCAATTACAACTTGAAGTATGACTTGAAAGATGGTTGGTTCTCGGGTGTAATTTTGTCGTCGTCACTTAATAGTACTCTTTGAGCAGGTTAGTATCTATTACTTTGGTTGTCTCTTATGTCCAGCTAGACTTCTGTAAACCCATCCTTTATTGAGCATCCCAGATGAGAGATGTTAATACTTTTATTATACTTTATTTTTGTTCTTATTCCCTATTCTCTTCCTTCACTATTACTGCATTTGATGTCAGATGTTTGCAGTGGAACTATTATCGACCTGAGGCACAAAGGGTGCCTTTTTATTATTATTACTAACATGCTGTGATTACCTTATATAGTCTACACTTACAGAGCTTTAGTATATTTTTTGTATTTTTGTACTATTTAACAATGCCATGTGGTCTTGTAATCACACAGGCATCCACTTATTGTCAATTATCATTTTGTTGTTGATTACTGAGAAGCTGGAAATTCATGGGATATAAACCAAAGGCTTATTGGGTGACCACAGGGAACAACCCAGTAATGGGGTAGTACCAACAGTAGCAAACAGTACCATGACCAAACCTGCCCTGGAATATGCCTTTACCTGTACTGCTGGAGGGGGTCAAATGTGTTGAGCAAACCAGATCGATGCCAATCTAGTTGAGTAAAAGTTGAGACAGATTCTGGCACTGCTCTGTTAACAGAAAATGGCTGCCACTAAGTTTTACACTAAATAAGTATATTGCATAATAAGTTAAAAAAAATAGTTCATGGATCTCGTGTTAGGTTGATATTGATGACTATATTTGTGTGTGTGTGTTTGCGTGTGTTATGCATGTGTATATAATTGTGTGCATATGAATAACACACTCAATATTCTTTGAACTTTAAACTGTCATCTGTATACTTATACTTACATATACATAAACTGCAAATATATATACAGTATATATACACCCATGTAACACTAGATCTGAGGTATAAGTCATGGTGTTAGTTAAGTGGCAGCCGAGGCAAGTGTCGGTATGTACCGCTTTAGTCATCAGTTGCCTGCTGAGTGTCGTTTTGTCATTTGACTCCCGCTCCTCTCACTAGCGCGTAGCCAAATAGATTGTAAGTGCATTTTGGTGCAGATGGTGTCTTTATTATTATTTTATAATAGATATTTATTTCACCAAGTTGAGTGAAAGTTAATATATTTCTCAAATAAAATTAGACGACATTCAAAGAAATGGAGAATGTTTTGGAGCACAGAAAAGCTGATGCTTTCTCATGAAATTTGGGTACTTAGTGACAGCAAGCTGTAGGCTGGGTCTGTCATCACCTTGGCTGAATCTACTGTTTGTGAAAGGTAATCCTTAGTCTGACCACCCTTAACCCCCCTATAGGCCGGGCGTGTCTACGCAGTGTGTCTATTAACATTGTCTTTCAAGAAGCAGACCAGCTTAACAGTTATATACAGCTTTATTAAGTCATTTTCACATTCCATAGTTTATGGTGAGTGTGTTGCTCATCAGTAAGGTATCGAGTGACTCGAATACAGTAGGATATTTAATCTTTTTTCTGAGTACAAGATTCTTGCTTGGCCTTAAAATTTTTGTCTGTTCCTGAAAGGTAATGTTTGCTGACAGCTTATATTTATGAATAACCCAATTTTTGTCACCACATAGTCACATTACACACACTAATAATGTTGATGTTGATAACGTTGATGATGATATTCAAATTCATGTATCTTATTTATTGTTTCCATAGTCATTTGTGCTGGTAAAGCATTTTACTTTGAAGTGCGAATATAGAAGACAAAGTAGACAATTTGCTTTTTAATCAGAACGTGACGACATCGACGATAAAATCTTACAGTACTCTATTTGTGAAGTTAATTTCCATTTCAGCCTAAATATTAACCATTATTAAACAATGTTTCAGTTTATCGTTGATCTCGTCACGTACCATCCTGTACACTGATAAGCTGACACAACATGCAATGGAAAATTAAGTAGAATCTTAGTGCAAAAACATGCAAAAATCATCATATAACAAACATATAACTGAATTCTGATAACCACTATCACTCCTTCAATGTTTAATTACTTATTCCCTGTAGTTTCTCTTTAGTCAAGCAGGACTGTACTCTTTGACAATATACATACCTAAGCAATCTTTTTAGAAATTCTGTACTGGCAACTTGATCTGTAAATTTTACCCAAGCAGAAATAGTCCAGTAGTGTACTGTATATTGATGCAAGTTATTATTATTAATTGATGAAATAAAGGTAAGTCTGCTGGGTGTTGCTGTAAATGGCAGATCATGTTGATATTTTTTTCCCCTCCTAGTTTTTCAGCAGTCTCGGCTAACTGAAACGCTTGTTTAATTAATCACAAGAGGATCTTGTCAGCAAATCCTCCGAGCGATTTCAGGCACAGATTTATTAGTTCACTTCAGTTTTCAGGTGTTCAGGGCTTCTGCTCTTGCTAGTTTAGAGAGACGTCTCACCCTGAATATGTACAGGCACCCTGATGAGCACACCAAGCTACATTTTTGTTTTGGTTAGCCTTTGTGTATAAAAGTGACCCAAGTTTTCTTATATATACATTAAAATTGATGTTCAGATTGTGTCTTTTAGTAAACCATCAATTACGTATAAATAGAGAAATTTTTTTGCGGATTTAATCACCAGGTTTGGGTTAGTAGTAAGTGAACGATCATTAATGCTTTGTCACATTAGTATTGGTTTTAAATGTGCCGAGTACCTCGCCCTTGAATAAAAGGTATCCCTCAGTCAACATTTCAAAAGATGCACGAGATTTTTTATTTATTATTATTATTTTTTTGGTTGCTTGTAGCTTTTCCCCATTGTCGTTTGCATGTTTGTGCCTCCTTTGTGTGACAATAGGAGCATGTGTACTTCAGTTTTATGAATAACAAAACTATATAAAGTCATGGGACAGTGAAAATGTGTTACCATACGGATTTTTAAAGTAATTAGTGGAACGTTAATGTTGAGCACATGTTGGTAATTATGAAGACCAAGACATTATGGTGTGAATTTGATAATGAAACTTGTTGACCATCAAGGCAGCTTGGAGTAAAAATAATATGGTTTGTAGTACGTATTTTCATAATGGTTTATTTTGATCTATTGGAAATGTTCAATGGGCTTAATGCTTTGTATGAGTTTGTTATTGCTATCCAGTTTGTAAATATTGTCTTTCTCTTTGTACATTTATTCTGTAAACTTAAGTAACGTGAATAAATTCAATGTACACCAGGACTACTTTCTTTTTAATTCCTTTTTTCAGTTTTACTAGTCTTTATTATTATTTGCAGTTTACTAGTCCAATTGTTATGATTCCCACTTGATATAATTTTTGTATGGTTTTTTTGCTCTCCATTTTGTATGGGTTGAAGCAACATTTTCATTAATGCTTGACTACTGATGTTCCTGTCCAAGACAGCTTGAAACCTGTGGAAACTTTGTGATGAACCATTTAGAATGTTTTTCCCGACATTCACAGTTATCCAGTCAGATTTTAGAACGGATTTATCTTTGATAAAATAATTATTCTATATTAATGTACTCCATTCCTGACTGTACTAGAGCCTTATTATTTGTAGTATGAAATATCAGTAATTGCTTTCCAAACATTTGTTTAGCAAGTTCATTCATATTTTGTCTTTGCATAAAAAAGTATTATGCATGGCATTAATGAGTATTGGTTTTTGAAAATATGTAGCCAGAAGGAATGTGTTCATGCCATATTTAAGTAAAAACTAAATATTTTTCTTTTCACTCATAAGCAAATGCATGTTTTTAAATATTGTTTTTACTTGAGCATTAAGATTTTTTTTGCATGTATTTACTTTGTGTACAAAGGAATAAATGCAAATTTACTGTGAAATGAAATGTCCCACTTATCCTACACCTGGGATGACTCCTTAGTACAGTACGTACCACAGGCCACATATATGTACAGTGTTGTAAAGGCTAATGCAGTATGTACAGTACATGTAGTTAGTAAAATCTGGAAAACATTTGTGCAGAAATAAGGAAAAAAAACAAAACAAATGGCAATACTAAATCACATGAGGAAAAAGGTTAAGTTCAAATACAATGGTAGTAAATTTAGCTGTATATTTTCTTCATTTAGATGTTCTTAAGTTGCGAGAGAAAAATGTTAACTAATGGGCACTGTTGATCGCTGTCAACGAATAGGGGTTTAGGTCCTTTGTCTCTAGAATTTTGTAATAATATAGAATTACTTTGTGTGCCTCTACTTTTCTTGCTCAACATTGAGACCCAGAGCAAATAGTCCTCTACATGCGAGTGGTGGGGCCTTGACCTGCCCCCCCACAGTTTAAGTGACTCCATTGCTATTGGCCATTTAATTAATTTTGCTGTGTTAAGTAAATAGTAAAAAATGTAAATCTTTCATTTTTGAATGATTGCCTTAAATCTGATATCCAAAGATATTTGATTTATTCTAACATCATGCAATGTAAGATAGAGGGAAGAGCACTTTTTTTTTAAATTGTTGAAAGATTTAGACCTGGAAGATAATTTAATCACATTTATGATTTTAGATTTTAATGTTATCAGTGGTAACAGGTGGAAGAAAGAATTTAATTTTTGTCTATAATAAATCTAAATGGATGGTGGTAGCATTATCTCGTTTCCTAATTTTTTAACTTTTTTTTTTTTTTTTTTTACTGTTTCCCCTCCCATTTCTTTTCCCTTTCTCCATTCCTTCCCCCTTTTCTATCTATTCATTCATTTCTACCTATTTCTCTTCATCTACACGCGGTATTACACGGGTTCCTATAATATTGCTTATATCTTTCTGCTTTCACATCCTTGTAAACAGTGTTATATAGTTTTCTGGGCTGAACACTGTTCTTTGAAAACAACTTGTTATAAATTGTCATGGAAAGTACAAACTAAAATATTAAAGAGGTTATATAATATTATGCTAATATATTATAATATTAATTTATATTTGAGAACATTCCCGTTTTGAATGAACAGCATATAGAGGGCATGATATATAATATATGATATAGAGCATGTTAAAATTTATGAATGCGTCTGTGGGGTCGACCGCTGGATAGTTCCCCAACACAATGGTTTGCTTCACTTGTAATATGTTAATCACTAATTTGCACAATCTTATAAAATAATAACATGGTTATGTAAAATATAAATCCTGCCTGTCGGACCTACTCACATTACTTGATACGAATTCATGAGAACAGCCTGCATACTACACAATGAACAATTACAGTAAGAAACACACAAAAAATCACAATAACTTGATGTATAAAATGAACAAATCCACAAGGGCCGTGACAAGGATTCGAACCTGCGTCTGGGATGCTCTCGGACGTAGGTTCGAATCTTCGTCACGGCCCTGGTGGATTTGTTCAACTACAGTAAATGTTTTATAATAAAACCACAAGACAGAGGAACAGTAAAGCGGAATAAGCAATAAAATACTAGAATGATTAAGGTATGCTTATTAGGTAGATTTCAACACATTAATTGCTGTTAATTAGGAAATGTTAGAAATGCGTGACAATTAGAAACGCGTCTGTTTATAAACAAAGCAGTGGACGTGAACCACCCGTGTCTCCAGCATAGGCAGGTGCGTAGTACCACAGCACAGGCAGGTATGTAGTCCTACAGCACAGGCAGGTATGTAGTCCTACAGCACAGGCAGGTGTGTAGTCCTACAGCACAGGCAGGTGTGTAGTACCACAGCAGACAGGTGTGTAGTCCTACACCACAGACAGGTGCGTAGTACCACAGCACAGCAAGGGGGATAGAAATAGCCTAAGCTACTCTATCCCTTTGAGATGTATTTCTTTCTTATCTCAATAAACATACTTGAACTTGAACCACAGCACAGACATGTCTGTAGTACCACAGTACAGGCAGGTCTGTAGTACCACAGTACAGGCAGGTGTGTAGTACCACAGCACAGACAGGTCTGTAGTACCACATTACAGGCAGGTATGGGGTCCAAGTACTTCCTAAAGGGTGGGATTTTTTTATGTCCAAGAACAACAACAAGAGGTCTCCGAAACATCGAGTCAGTGACAACATTAATGCAGGTAGCAGAAGTTGTACAAATGTCGCCCCATCCTTCTAACAGGCTCCCGACTGCCCTAATACGGTTTGCTGAACGATTATTCTGGGCTTCGTGGTCGCTTGCACGGCCTCCGGACACTAACTACATGTACACAGGCTACGTTACTGTGCTTGGTGGCTCCATGCCTCGATGCATGGGCTCTCGCAACCATACAAGAGAGAAGAAACAGGGGACATAATCATTGCATACAAAATACTGAGGAAAAGAGACACGGACAGTCTTTAAATTGAGAAAATTTGGACTAGAGAACATAGATGGAAGCTGGAAATGGAAATGAGCCGAAGAAATTTAAGGAAACAGATAATTCGAACTTTAGAACTGTTGAACACGATTTGTAGGCGTGACATAAAGAGCTAAACTTCTTTTCCCGGAAGTCAGTGAAAGGTAAGTAGCAAGAGCCAAGGGAGGTGTTACACCTGAGCGCGCGCAGGGACCCCCTCCCTTGAGGGGGGGAATGACCAGTAGGTAGGTGGGTAGGCTGGCTGGTCCACACTCACTCCCCGGACGCCCACCGCCAGACACATAGGTAAGTCGCTTCTCTCCCACATTTCTGCTCGCGTCTCCACCCACATTCAAGGATTATTAACTATACATAGTCTTCGGCCATTCATTTACCGGCGCTGGTTGATACCTGGTTTCGATTCGCGCGATTTAACCGTTCAACTAAGGTCAAGATATTCACTAGGAGTTAACTGAGATTAGTATGCAATCCTTGCACTGTATCCGCATTTCGCTTTCAGTAGATGAACGACATATGAGATTCAGAAACAAGTAGTGTATTGTGAGGACTAATAATAAACAGAAGCTCCCCTATGACTGTAATATCCCCATTGGTCAAACTATTATGTATTAGCGATAAGACCTACCATTAATGTATATGATGACTTACTGTAAATATATAGCTCTTGAAATTGCACTTTCTCTGTAACTAGCTGACATTGTAACTATAAGGTGTGAAGGATAGATGAAATTGTTTATGTAATAATCTAAGATGAGGTCTGATAAAGACCTTTTGTGCCCTCTGTAATGCTTTTGCGCTACCGCTCAGAGGATGAGTATGGGGTGCACAATAAACTAGCCGCCTTCGGCGGCAACAATTAAAATCAATCATGAGGATGCAACCCGCAACAGTTGCCTAACTCCAGAGTACCTAATTACCACTTGATGAACAGGCCCATCAGTTGAAAGTTAATGGTCCCAACAATTTTCTGTCCTGTCAGGGGATCGAACCCGGAATCTACGTTTGTGAGGCTGTAGAGCGAGAACGTAGCCTACTGTACTACAAGACTCATGAGCAGCCATACCTATCACAGCCTCACCCAACCTCGCTATATCGACATGTGAGATGTATTTGGGTTAGCGTCGTCATTACCTTATAAAGTTAAATCTTGACTTAAAGGTTCAAGAAGCTATGCATTTTCCTTGCAGATGTAACTGGAATCAGATAATTTTGCATAAACAACCGTTTTGTATAAATATGAATATGGGTGTTCATACAAGCAATTGTCAAAAAGTAACTTCCATCATGAACTTTGATGAATCGAAGAATGCCTCTGCATCTTCAAGCTCTGCAACTGCCCACCACATTTTATTTACAAAAACTAAATCATAATGGTAAGGGAGGCTAAAATACGATAATTAATTAGGATAATTATGATGGCGAGTCCTTGGGAAGACTGGAGACTGTGCCGATCATCAAGTGTGCCCCGAGAAAAGATCAGCATCAGTACAGTATATACACATTGTACTGGGAAGAAATGAATTGCAGCTATATTTACCTGACGACCATTATATCTCTAGTGGTCTCAGCGAGGACAGGAAGCCGGTGGCTTGTCGAAGGTCCCCCCCCCCCATTTGTCCTGATTATTTTGTCGAGATGGATTTTGAAATTCATCAGCGTTTTGGCATTTACGGCTTCGGCGGAAAGGCAGTTCCATGGGTTTATAAACCTATGAGTCAAAAATAGCCTGTTTTCCGTCCTGCATTCGGGCTTGTTGAGCTTGAAACCATTGTCCGTTGTTTGTGTTACATCTGACCTTTGGACGAAGTGGTCTGGATCAACATCCTCCAAATTGTTCAGTATTTTAAGTTTCGATGAGATCAGCCTTGTCATGTCTGGTTTGTAGTGGTGTTAGTCGTGAGGCTCTCAACCATACATGGTATGAGAGTCTACTTCTGTAATGGTTTTTCTCGCCTTGTGCTGAACTTTCTCTACAGTAGGTATATATCCCTCTGAAGATGAGGTCTCCATACTTGGATACAATAATCCAAGTCGGAGCTCGCCAAGGATTTATACAGTTGAACAACTACCTTTTTTTACTTGAAGTTATAATTGCGTTTGACTATTTCTAGGATTTTTTTTTAACTGCAGCTGTCCTTTGTTGGGCAGAAAGAAACGGAAAATCAGATAGAGACGCACACATAGAGAAATATATAGAAATGAACATATAGACGCGCTCTCCTCATGTCTAGTGCTTGTATTGAGCGCGTTGATAATGAGAAACTGATAGTTGAGCACAACCCCCACCCATTCTCCCCTTATCTCGTGTAGGTTTATTTAAGGTAAACACGTTATCAGAGACGATACTAGTCTCAAGGTAAACCTGTTATCTTGGTTTATTTATGCCTTTTTATCCACATATTTGTTTGTCGGTGTATCTCTGCCTTTCACTGATCGTTTATTTGCTTATGTTCATCTGTTATTTGCTTATGTTCGTGTCTGGTAAGGGGAGCAACAGGCGTAGAGTAAAGGGGGAGAAACAGGAGGTAGGAAACAGGGAGTGAACACATCAGAGTACAGGACCCCCCCCCCCCCCTCCTCTCCACTTATCAGTAACTGCGGTAAACGATTACCTGCCAACCGTTAATTAGAAATGTTACCTTCCGAAAATTATGTATCAAATAATTCTCAAAGCGGCAACTCGTGCCTCAGGCGGCAGCTGCTGCTGACTGTCTATTGACTACTGACTGTTTACTGTCTGTCTATTGACTACTGACTGTCTGTCTATTGACTTCTAACTGTCTGTCTATTGACTTCTGACTATCTACTATCTGTCTATTGACTGCTGACTGTCTACTGATTGATGATTGTTTACTGACTGGTGACTGTCTACTGGCCAGTGTTATTGAGTATAAGAGGATTAGCATTAGAGAAAAGGAAAGTTGTGTCAGCAGCAAATAAATTTGGCTTCAAGTGTTGAGTGTCATTAGGAAGATCTGACCGGAGCATTAGTGTCATTACTGAACAATTTGGAGGTTGTTGATCCGGAAAATTTCTTCAAAAGGTCAGATGTAACACAAACAAGGAGCAAAGGTTTCAAGCTCAAGCCACAATGTAGGACTGAGAACAGGAGAGGCTTCCTCACCCACAGGGTTATTAACCCATGGAACATTTACTGCCGAAGCTGTAAATTTGTTAACATTTACAAGTAAAATGTAAGTTACTATGTAAATGCAAATACTTCCTGTCCTCATCGAGGCTACTATTGTTAGTGGCTCTCGGATAAACTCAAATCATTGATGTAAATGGAAAAAGAGGAGTGGACCCAGAATACTGCCCTGTGGAACGCCATTGTTAATTGGCAGAGTGGGAGAGTTTAGCGTCATTCACAGAGACATACTGGAGCCTGTCACTGAGGTAGGATTGTAAGTATCGATGATTGTAAGATTGTAAGTACAATGACGAGGTCTGGGATTAATTAGACATAAGATGTGACGCCCTTGACTCAGTCTCACAGCCTGAGAACACCTCTTACTGATGTTCGCATTTTGACTCTGGAAAATCATGAGCTTAAGGGACCTGTTGAAATTTGTAATGCCTCTACTCATGGTTTGTATGTAAGTCCAGAAGACACGAGACAGCTAGCAGACAGCCGGAGACATGGAGAGATCCTGTAGACGTCAGTTCCCCCCCTCTCTCTGTCACCAGTGGAGGGGTACCAGTGAAGTTTTTACGTCATTCGATTGACGAGTGATTCGTCAATCGTCATTCAATTGATCGCTTTGTTAAATCTCTGATTTAATTCCAAGTTGTATATTGTTCCTTGTTTCTGTTGCAAATATAATGAAATGCTCGGATTAATTGGCTATAGTTTCAAAATTTCCCGTAAAAATTATTGTGTTGAGTGGTTTAACTCCCTCCTCCGCTGCCTAAACCAGCTTAAATACTATAGAATTATGTTGACCAGACCACACACTAGAAGGTGAAGGGACGACGACGTTTCGGTCCGGCCTGGACCATTCTCAAGTCGATTGTGATGAGGAAAGTAGAGACAGGCAATAAATAGGCGAGAGAGAGTTGAGGAGATAAGTAAGGTGTAGTAGTGGGGATAGTAGTAATAATAAGAACTGCAGAGGGCCTATTGGCCCATACGAGGCAGCTCCTATTATAACCACCGAATGAGGAGATAGTAATAGGAATAAGACGATAGCAAGGGAGCGTAGAGGACAATGAACAGAAAAAGGGAGATGAGAGAAAGAAAACGAAAGAGAAAGAAAGATAAATGGAAGGGATAAGCTTATGTTAGGTCACGTTTGTTAGAAAAATTAGAGTATTTGAGTATATACTGTGAAAGGGAAGAGTCTACAGCAACAAAGCCAGGACTCAAGTTCATGTTGGGTACATTGTGTATTAGAGCAGATTCAACAAGACGGCGTCTGCGTAGAGGCAGGAAAGATTATGCGTGGTCAGATTCTAGTGTGTTGACCAGACCACCAGGCCACGTTATTGTGACTCATCGTCTGCACTATAGAATTTTGTTTTCACTTGGTGTAGCTCACATTCAGCTGACCAAGTTTAATCCCAGCAGTCGGAGCCTAATCTCTGCTGTCCTGTTCTTTATAAAAGTAGCTGAGGACCCGCCGCCAGTCCCACTACGCCCACGAGATGCCCGCCCCAGCAGACATGGGGCGCCGTAACGCCCTGCCCGTCCTCTATACCAGCGGCACTTACTACGAAGTTGGCTACGACGTCGTAAGTACTCGGGGTGTGTGCAGGGTGGGGCGAGATGGGTTCACTTCATACAAATTAGTTGATCTCGCTTTGTTTCAAGAATTACAACGTTAATCTTGTATGTTGTTCTCCAACTTTTTGTCAAGATTTGCCCGAAACGCTCTGCTAATTACTGGCTTTAGGGACTGTAGTTATCTTGCCTATGAATCAGCCAACATAAAGGTGTTGTATGATTCACATGTGTGTGTAGAGTTGGAGCATGACGTATGCAGTCTGTTTACTGTATAAGCACAGTGAAAGACTGTTGTATGATCAACTGTGTGTACCTGGAGCATAATGTATTCATTGGTGAGACAGGTTAGTGTATGAACATAGTCATGCAGGGCTCACACAACTTGAGGAATACTAAGCACGGCGCAACTCTTTTTTATTATTAATATTATTCCTGCAGGGCCGCACCTTCCGCGGCATCATCGAAGACTTCCTGGCTACATGCAAGGACTTGCACGAAGACTTCCTGCCGGCCTACGAAACCTCCGAGGGCCGCGCCGCCTACGACCTCACCCTTGCCTCCCTGCAGGAGAATTTTCCCCAGTACGTTAGGGAGCTCCAGGGCACCGCTGATGGAGCTCATGTCCCCTTCCACAAAGTGAGTCTTCCTTTCTGGATATATTTCGCGGTCCCTTCCACAACTTGTTCTGAACACGTATAACAGCCCCCTTTCCGCCAGATTATGTGTTTAACAAAAGTAGCAATGGCGTAAAAAGGGTACATACTTTTTTTAAGGTTTTAAACCCTAGTCAATGTTTGTGAAGACAAACTAATGTACTTTTTACTGAGAACAGCTGATGCTGCTCCACATGGATCAGATCGTGCCCAAGAATAGCGGGAAGGCACGCTCCTCCGGCACCAATGGCTGCTCCGCCGTCTGCGTCAACCACGAGGGACAGGTCAGCATAGTTGACACATTGATTGCAATGTACTCAAAATATAATTGTAAAATGCTTGTCTTAAACAAGGTGCATATATAATGAAGTCATCAATGATGGAATCAGAATCTGTCTCCTGTAGATCCCATCCCATATGGCCCCCGAATGCGTAATATTAATGGTACGTTACCCGAAGATTTTGTATTACAGGGGAATTGATTACCCCTCCCCGGTTTGCTCTTGAGCAGCCTGATGGCCGAGGTATATATCGAGAACTCTAGTAAAATTAAATAGACCTGAAGCAAATAATGTGAAATCTACTGTAGCTATTCCCCTCTACATATATCATCATGTTACTATGCATGAAGAGCCATGGATCTATGACGGATCCAGTATGAGGTCCACAACCACTCATACTATGAATATGTAGTGCATAATAAAGGAGCAAAACTACGCCTGTGTTCTCACACTGTAGGTGTTGTTGGGACACACTGAGGACGCCCTGCCGGAGAACCTCAACCACACGTATATGGTGTCTGCCCACATCACGGAGGCAGAGCCGCAGGGCAAGTGGGGCATCCGTAGCGAGGGCTTCACTGCCTACTGCTACCCCGGCCACCTGCCAGGCTACTGCATGGGCTACAACCATCACGGTCTCGTCTATTCCATCAACGCCCTCTACCCACAGACTGTCCTGGCTGGCAAAACCCGTGAGTCGTCTTCACTGGTTTATGTCTCTTCGGGACGCGCTTCATAGTAGATTTAACTTCCTGTATGTTTGTATATTTTGACAATTAATTTGACGAATATAAATTAATTTTAATTAAAATATACATTGTATAGTCGATTTATTATCCTTTAATGCATCACATTAGTGATAACCACAATGTTGGTGCTTTGGCAGCTCGTCATTTCTTGTGTCGGGCGCTGCTGTCGGCCAAGACGATGGAGAAGGCTCAGCAGATCTTGAGGGACCGAGGAACGGGGTCAGCTGATGGCTTTTGCGTGAACATGAGCTTCACCATGCAGGAAGGTGACCACCTCTTCCACAATGCCGAGGTTGGCCCCGCCGTTAACAGCAACGAGAGTCCACTCTCCATCCTCACCATCAGCCCAGGCGAACACCTCCTGCATACTAACAAGTGGGTGACCTGCTTTTGTGGTTGTTTTAGATTCAGCTACTCAGAACAATAAGATTGAAGTAGCACGGACTATGGTGAGCCCGTGGGGTGACCTGCCTATTGGTATTTATGTGTAGTTACAGATAAGAATTTCCCCGTGGGTTCTTGCCCAGCAATATTTGTGTATTGTATTGAGAAACATCTTGGAACCCGTCTTTTAATTAAACCAACATGGCGTTGGTTTTTCTACCAATCTATTCGTATGCAGATTGTTTACGTCTCGTTCAGTACAACATGTTCATACATAAATAAGACACATCACAAACAAAAAAACATATTACCAAACATTGAGTGATAAACATGTACTGTACATTTCTTCCTTTACACATGTAGTATGTTACCAGACATACACACAAATACTTTTATGACTAGGTATATAGACAATTTGAAATAGGCAGTCAGACAATTTAACAAAAGGTTACAATGTTAGTGCTCCAGTGGATAAGGAAGTACCTAAGCAATAGGAAGTAATGGTTATTGTAAGGGGTGAGACCTAAGAATGGCACGATGTCACTAGCAGAGTCCCACAGGGTTCTGTACTTGTGCCTATCCAATTTCTTATGCATGTAAATGATCTTCCAGAGGGTATAAGACTCATTCCTCTCGGTGTTTTTTGATAATGTTAAAATTATGAGAAGAATTAAGACAGAGAACAGCATGAAGCAACAACAACTTAAGATGACCTGGACAAAAAGAAGGAATGGTCCAATAAATGGCTATTAGAGTTTAACCCCAGTAAATCTAATGTAATGAAGATAGGTGTAGGGAACAGGAGGCCAGATACACAGTACCATTTCGGAGATGAAATCCTTCAATAATCAGGGAGAGAAACCAGAGGGTTGATATTATGCCAGACCTATGCCCTGAAACCCATATAAAGAGAATTTCATCAGTGACATATACTAGGTTGGCCAGAATAACTGCCTTTAGAAACTTGTGTAAGGAATCATTTAGAATCTTGTATACCACATATGTCAGACCTGTACATCAGTTTTTTTTTTTTTTTTTTTTTTTGAGATATATACAAGAGTTGTTACATTCTTGTACAGCCACTAGTACGCGTAGCGTTTCGGGCAAGTCCTTAATCCTATGGTCCCTGGAATACGATCCCCGGCCGCGAAGAATCGTTTTTTCATCCAAGTACACATTATACTGTTGCGTTAAACAGAGTCTACAGTTAAGGAATTGCGCCCAGTAAATCCTCCCCGGCCAGGATACGAACCCATGACATAGCGCTCGCGGAACGCCAGGCGAGTGTCTTACCACTACACCACGGAGACTGTTAAGTTGATTGATGGTAGAGACACATGACCCCAAATATTGTAGCTCAACCTTGGCAAGCACAATTAGGTGATAAGGTGAGTAGTTCTCTGCATGATTTCTTGACCAGGTTCCTGAAGGTATTTGTATAAACCTCTGGCAATAGGCCTGGTGTGATGCTTAGCTCTTTATTTTTACCTTAACGAATTTGAGAGCTGCCTATCTTTCGAGCTGCATTCTCTCCTTCCACATTGCCTTGAAGTTTAGGTTGAATTTTAGTATCCTTTTATTAGAACATTCTTGCACCGTTTTCAAATAGTCTAGTTATTCGGAAGTTATCCTCGGTTCATTTAGAAATATAATAGGACCAGTGTGGGTCTTCAGGCTGACCCTTATGAAACCAACTTTTAATTCCCTCCATTGTGACTGCTTTCACTGGGACATTTTTCAGTTTTATAAGTGTTTTTCGCTCAGTTTCGTGTTCAGTCACTCCAGCTCGCACTTTAATGTTTTGCATTAGTTTGATGTTGTGAACTGTGGGAAAGGCTCTCTGGTGGCCCAAGAATATACTGCATAGTCAAATCATCCTTTTCTTTCCTGCATTTCCTTAAGTTATCCTCTTGCATAATGCTGTTAGACTAGTTAGCCAGGATTTATATTCCATGAACTTGTGTTAATACTTTGTTACAAAATAAATTTTATTAATTATTGCAGGAACCTCGGTCTATCCCTCACCGAGTACCATATATTACAGGTATCTCCGTCTGAGCATCCCAGAGGTGGATGGACTGAGCATAAAGAGCAGCAACCACCGTCACACCCGTGCCCTGGAATGTTGTGCACCAGAGACTCGTGCCACCCTCCTTGCCCTCCTCTCAGACACTCATGACGTCACATACCCTTTCTTCAGAGAGGGTGGTGAACCGGACTTCGTCAAAACAGTGGCTGTAGGTCAGTATGGTGTTGGATGAGAGGGAAAAGCGAGAGAGAAGAGGGATGTAGGGTGAATGAGAGTTGGAGAATATGTATACTGTAACTTTACCCGAGGGCGACTAACACAGTGGCCTCGATGAGAACAGGAAGCCAGCGTCTTGTTGAGGGGCCCTCCATTTGTCTTGATCCTCTCCAGATTGACTTTAAAAGCTAACGGTTTTGCCATTTACAGCTTGGGTGGGTAGGCAGTTCCATGGGTTTATAACCTTATGGGTGGAAAAAGCACCTCCTGTTTTCAGTCTTACATTGAGGTTTGTTGAGCTTGAAACTATTGTTCCTTGTTTGTCTTGCATCTGATCTTTTGAAGAAATTGTCAGGATCAAATCGACATCCTCTAGCTTGTTCAGTATTTTAAGTTTCAATGCGATCCTTAGTACTTAGTGACAATAATGTGTCTGTCAATCTGTAATAAATTTCTTGAATAATCTCAATCCAATAGTAAATGACAGCATTATTTTACCACTTGTTACTATGTTGTGACCAACATGGACTTGAAAAAAAAAGTGGACTTGACAATGTGACCATCGTCAATACCAGATGTTGGCAGTAATACAGTTGTGTCCCAGCCCAATGTTCTCACAATTAGCAACCTATCCTAACCTTGCTGGCAGCAGTTACAGCATAAGCCACTTTGATAATAATAGCCTCATGCTTGATGTACAATTATCAAGAACAAAACTCCAACAGTGATCAATTTTTTAAAATAAAAATCAAAGGCGATGCCTTTCATGACCAGCTAAATCATTGCAGGAAGACACGAGTGCTCCATCAAAAAATAGAATGTCCCAAGACACGAAAGGAATATAGAAATGTAATTAACATAAGTTTAGGTGGCAGAAAGTTGGCAAAACCATGAGCAAATCTTCATTGTCAACTCTTGTCACTTGTGAGCTGGCTGAGTTCTGAAACATGTTCTCTCAACACGTAGATATTTGAGAAATCCAGTAAACTGACTATAACACTCGTGCCCAATAAATTAGCTTTGTATCATTATAAATGTAGTCTAATATTAAATAATATATGCACTTGTTAAATATGGTAAATAGGTAATTTTCAGAGACAGGTGTACAGCCGAGCTGTTGTAGAATAATGTATTGGCTTGCAGTTCTCTTATACAGTACAAACATAAATTCTTGTTGTATTGAACCTTAAGTTTTTTTTTAAAATATGAGTGAAAATATGAAGAGAAAAAAAAAGTTGACTTGCACTTACTCGAACACTAGAAGTACAATACAGTATATTGGTCTGTTTCTGAGAAATTCCATGATGTGACAAGACTTCAATATTAATTGTAGATAAAGGTCTGCCAGTAAGGGCTTTATAAAATCTAAAATTGATAGTCCTTACGGGTAAAATTTTATCAACATACGTCTGCTCTTGGTGTTTCTCAACATTGCTGTTGTCACTTTATAGTTAAATTTCATATTCAACCTAATAAAAATTAATAATTAGTATAATTTCATTCATGTATTCAGATTTAATTATTTTTCTTATCGTGCATGAATTCAAAATGTTATTTGTAATTAAAAACTTAACGTTATTACAACATTTGTGCATGTCGCAGGTGTGTTTGACTTGCTGGAGAAGACGTGGGCAATCTGGATGAAGAATCCACGAACGGCTGACCCGCTCCTGACACTGCCTCTCCTCTTCACTTGGAAAGACTAAGTTGGTATGGACACTTTACTTTTACTGATGCCATCACCAACACCTATCTCTAGAAAGCCCAGTCAATGCTGCTAGTGTTGATATACCATTTGTCTGTTAGGTATCCTCTTATGAAGTGACAATTATTCAACATTAATATTTAAATTTTTCTGTTGCATTCAATGTCATTGCAAACATATGATGTAGAGTTCATCACGTCGTTATATTATCAAACGGACTCCTTTGGGGCAACAAATTTAGATTGTATATAGTTATTTATTGCATTTTAGTTTACTGTACCTGAATTTACTTGAGGGGGTCTCTGAGAGGGCCACATCTCTAGGGGCTTCAGTGGGAGGCTCCATTGTTCTTGGTTTTTCCAGTTGTATTTTGATCTAGAGTACTTTGTTAGCATTCATGGCTATAGCAGGTTGGAAAGTTCATGGGTTTATTACCCTGTAGGTAGAAAAAGTATATCCTATTTTCTATACTACATTGTGGCTTGTTGAGCTTGAAGTTGCTGCCCCTTGTGCAAGTTACATTGGACCTATTAAAAAGTGATTTTATAAATATATACAGGTACTGTACATATAATATATTTATATTTATTTATTATCTTCCAATTTGTTCAGTATTTTGTCTCGATGAGATCTGCCTTGTTTGGTTGGTAGTCTTAAGACCCACAACTTTTCCTGGTATTTGAGTTAACTTGGTTTTGGGATGAGGTCTCTGTGCTTGAATACAGTAGTCCATATTGATGCCCACCAAAGATTTGTATAACTGGATAACCACATTCTTTTCCTTGAAATCATAGGTTAATTTTATTATGTCTTAGGGCTGGTTGGCTTATTTGCTACACCTCCTACTTACTGAACATCAATGCAATTTAAACTAAATGGTTCCAGCATAAAAAGATCCCAGACATTTTATTAAAGTGGGTCATCAGACCTAACACTGATCACCACATCATTGTCAGAGGATAATTGTACTAGTAATGTACTAGTAAAGATTAGACATAGTTCTAGTTCTGTTATAAGAAAATTATTGTTTCTTAATAATAAAAAATAAGAATCATGAATCTTGTATTTTGATATTCTTTTACCCCAAAATTATACATAAATAAATAAAAAAGCCTAATTACAAATGCTTATGCCTGCCAGTTGCTTATGTGAATATGGTTAAAACTAGATGGAAACCAATGAACTAAGACGAAAATGCTTAAAATTTGCTGTTTTGAATCTTCCCACCAAAAAATGCTTGAATGAATCTTCCCATCACAAATGAACAATATTTGTTTAAATTATAAAACCTGCTTTGTAAATACTTTCCAATAACTTAATCTAGGCTTTTATAATGACAATAATACCTGGATAATATCTAGATAGGGTTCTGGGAGTTCTACTCCCCAGGCTTGACTTACTCTACTCTTCATTGGCTATTTTTCTTTTCCTTCCATATTGTTCACTCCAGTATGTTGAGGAGATGTAAGGAAAGTGATGGAGGGAGGTTTGTACAGTACATGGGATCCCCAGCAGTGCCCCAAGTAATGGTTAGAGATGAAAATGGTATTTGGTGATGGTTAGTGATGAGGATGTTCATATATAATGTAGATGAATACAGTGTTGCAGATTACATGCAGTGAAGACAGTGATGATGACGAATGAGGTTAAGATGGTTTGGGAGGAATATATTATAAGCAAAGATGGTTAGTGATGATGGTTGCTTGTAGTGAAGGTGGATATAGTGATGGTTGTACAAAAAACTGGTTAGTGATGATAGTGTGTAGTGAAGATGTGGCCTAATCACATGAGGAATGCCAAGTACTTTGGGCATCCTCTAATATAGCACTGTATACTAAATGGTGTACCCACCAGTGCCTAGGTCTCTCCCTCCCTCTGGTTATGTTATGTGTGATGAACAGCTGAAAATCTGTTGAAAACAAACTATGGAAAACTAAACCTCCACTTCAGACTTCATAGGAGTTGTTGATTGTCACAATAGGGGTCAACCCTACTTAATGGTGTATGGTGGGGGGGGGATTCCCCCCCCCCATTACATTCTCATGCAATCAAAATTGACAGTTGAAAGTTATACGATGCATCCATCTTGGAGACATTTTTATAGATATATGGATTGTGGACTCATTCCTTGAATTGTTTAGATGCTAACCATGCTAGAGAAGGCGTCACATTTTCTCAAGAGTAAATTAAGAAACGTCTAAATATTGGACGTTTACCATCTAAGGGTCATGGATACCTTAGAGAAGAAAATTCGTTAATAATTTAAAAGAAATTGGAAGACCATTAAAAAATATCTCGGGTGCGCACACGAACAAGACTTTGGGTGTCGCAAAGTTTGCTGATAAGGCAGAAACTTGTCCGAGAAGTTGTGTGGAAGTTGGAGCCAGCACTCACACAGGTGAGAAGGGTTCTGGGGGACACAGACAAGTAGACAGATTTGGGTGCATAGTAAATAAGCAAAATGAACAAGATAATTATAATAATTCATTGTGTTGGGGAACAGGCATCTAGTGTATAAACAAATCAAATGAATAGGCAGATCACACTAGCATCACGTTAGTGTGATCTCTGTGTGTAAGCTAGTGTATACATGTATACTGTATATACATGTTAGGCTTATATGAAGGTTTCCCCAAGGTCGAATTACTGACCCTCAGAATGCAACCCCACCAGAAGTTGACTAACCCCTGGGTACCTATAATTACTGCTGGATGAACAGGGCCATTAGTTAATAAAAAATGCCCTCAACCATTTCTGTCCCACCCAGAATTTCTAATAGTGAGTTGAGAGTGAACCTGACTTCTCTACTAGGACTCTGAGACTGGTAATGGGAGAGACTATGATGACTGGGTAACATAGGTGGAGGGAGTTCAATTGATAAAGGAGGGATGGTTATTGGAAATGTGGCATTCTTTATCATTTATAATTAAAATTGCAACCTGTTTTTCTGTTTTAAATGGAAGAAATCTTTAAAGATACTTGCACAAAATACTAGGTGATGTATAGTACAGTACTTGTTTTGCAAATTACAGCTTTCATTAAGATTTTATATTCTGAACATGTACAAAACTGCAGTTGTGTGACACTCGTGTAGCAAGAACATGTAGCTGAAGAATGTGAGGAGAAAAAATGAACACAGAATTGTTTGGCATTCGGGCACAGTAATGAAAATGTAATAAGTACTGCATTAAGATGAAGGGTATAAAGTTCAGTGTATTATTACAGTTCTTTTTTGATAAGGAGGTCATCTTGAGATGATTTCGGGCCTTTTAGTGTCCCCGCGGCCCGGTCCTCGACCAGGGCTCCACCCCCAGGAAGCAGCCCGTGACAGCTGACTAACACCCAGGTACCTATTTTACTGCTAGGTAACAGGGGCATAGGGGCACAGGGGTGAAAGAAACTCTGCCCATTGTTTCTCGCCGGCGCCTGGGATCGAACCCAGGACCACAGGATCACAAGTCCGGCGTGCTGTCCGCTCGGCCGACCGGTCCCTAACAGGACGGCTAAAATAGGCAGGTAAGTGTGATAAAGTTCTCTTGTTAAGTAATAGATCAGTTGGGTTCTCATGACATATTTTTACTTAAGATTGGTTATGATAATGCTGCACGATGTATACACAGTATATACAATGAGCTATACAGTCTGTCAATTCGTAATTATGCCCAGCAATTTGAACAGGTCTTTGACTGAAAATGGTTACAATTTTCAAAACAGTCCCTGCATTTTGAGGGTTGAAATCAAAGCACATGGCATACTTCTTAACCAAGTTCTCATTATATTACCATTAATACAATGGTAATTCTCAATATTCCATCAACCTCATCTTTGTATTTTCTGTTTGTACATTCGTGCTATCTAATGCAATTAACATTTGGCCCAATCAATATTTGTTTGATATACATACTTTGCATATTTTTTTATTGTGCCTACCTTGCATATTTTCTTTAGTCATTGAAGATCATGCATCTTTGTTAATTTAAATTTGCCCTTTATTTTGCATTAAAATATTATTTAATTTGCATTACTATCGGGAAATTATAAACGATGAAAAGTCAACATGTTTATTCGTAATGAAACATATCTCATAAAGATCTGGCTATTTTTGTTTGATAAGGAAGACCTTAGGAATATAAATTATTTTTTAGAATTGAGGGATTCTAATACTATTTTCAAGATGAATCTTTAGCACCTTTGTATGGAATAAGACAACCTTCAAGCCAACATCAGAAACACTGCTACTCATATGATACAAACACATTCATTTACACAAACTACTCTTTACTTGTTACTACAGTTGTTGCACAAGAGGAAAGCAATTGATGAAAAGTATTTAAAACATTACAAATATTTTTAAACACTATAAAATTATCAAAACTCGAAGTAGCTAAAATATTTGGCACCAATTTTTTTGTTTAAGAGGGAAATGTGTGTGGATTGTAATATTAGCGTAGTGAATGATGTACCGGTCGAGACAAGTAACTAGACGAGTGACAGCTCAGTTCTTAGTGAGGGGATCCCGTCACATCACAGCCTTCCAGGCTCTTGACAGGGTGTATGTATATATATATACATACATATATATGTATATATATATATATACATACATATATACATGCGAACAAGTATATACATATGTATACATACATACATATATACATACATACATGTATATATATATACACACACACACCCTTACATATACAAAAATACCAATAATTCCAAACTGAAAATTAGATATGGTATTATTTATACCATTGTGTGTGCATCCTGAATTTTACTTTTAAAAAACCCTCACTGATTAGCCAAAGAACATATAGTGCACAAAGCTGAGCACGTAACACTTATTTGTTAAAAAAAGTGCTATATTTTTTAACGTACATTTGAACATGTGTAATTCCTTAATGATAAAAAATGGAATGAAGTTTGAGGTATTATTTTAAACTAGAATACATGCAAATTAAATTAGCATTGTGGTTCTGTCAGTATAAAAATGTTATATTTGGCAAAGTGGAATCCAGTATAAAATGCATTACCATTGCACATTTACTGAATATTAAGTATTAGATCATTATCAAACGTGCTAAAAAAGTATAGCTATACAACCCTGCCAAAGCAACAAATTATCTTAAGTTTCTCGTGCATTGCTATCAAATCCCTTGCAATAATGTTCTAGGAATGATAATCCTGCAGTTTGTGATTGAACAGGAATGAAATGCATCCACTTTCAAATGCAAGGAATGTATTTTGACAACATGGTCCATTGTAAAAAGTAATAAAATAAATAAAGCCCACCTCTATGGATTATTGGAATGCCAGTAATATAAAAATATACCGAGCCCAGAATACTACATAGCACTTCCTTTTGAATATTCAAGACATGCTAGATATCATTAGAGCTACCAATACAAAAGAAAAAAGATGCAAGACAAGCAGTGTTAAAAGTATTGGATTCCCCAAAGATTATTAATGGACATATGACTCAAAAGATTTGGATTAAAATATTTCTATCCTGAAAATTTGAATATTCTACAAGGTGCAAAACTGTTGACAGGACATTGCAGTTCTGACATTAAGGTGCAGATCTTTGTTCCACTATATGCCCACAAGTTAACTGTGCAGCCAATATAGAACCTGGCCATAAATGTTCCCTTCTTATTTCAGCGACAGGCCATGGGAATAGGTCACATTTGATAATACATAACTATTCATAATGGCAAACCATTATCTAATTGTTTTAAATGGCATTAATAATGATGGTAGAAAACTGAGGAATTCATTTCTGGGAGTTAGGATGAGCACAAATGACTGTAGCAGCAGTGCCCATGAGATCATTAAAGGCAGTACCAATATGGCTGGGAATTTAGCAAAATGTTATACATATATATCGGATAGAGATGAGAAACAGCCAAGGTTTTATCTCGATCACCATGGGATGTGTGGTTGACACTGCAAGAGTCAACCGCAAGCATTGTGGTTGCTCAAGAGTCAACCACAAGAGTCAATAACAGCATTGGTGCATGAAAAGTAACCATTTTGGACAATGTAAAGCTCTGCCTTAAAAATAATCATTGGAAGGGGGGAAAGGGGAGGTGGTACATAAAGGCTTTATCATGAAAAACAATGGAATAGCCATCAGCAGATTTCAACCCACCCATAAACAAAGCATGTGAGACACTGAAAATGTTCAGTTTCAGGACTTAAGGCTTCACAAAATATAATGCACAGGGGACATCATAGGGGAGAACCAGGCACAATAAGAGGGTACACATGGTGAACAGAGCTTTCAAGAGGGGCAGCAGTTATTGTGTAATAAAAGCTTTTATGAGAACTTTTGGAAAATAGCAATTAAAAACAAAAAAAAAACAAAAAACAAGCCAAGGCATAAGTCCATATGATGCAAAGTGTTAAAATGAAGGGTTCAGTGTAACTGATAAAAAATGCAAAGCAACCATGGCCTACGTTAGACGGACTAGAGAGGTGTGCAAATCCTGGAAGAAGTGCAGGTGTGCAAGTCAGTATTCAAGAGACAAAGAAAGAATAAAGGGTTCTAAAAGACAGTCACAGGTATTAGTGAGAGAATTACCTCAGAATTAGTAGAGAAGAGGTGAATTAGTGAGAAGAATTGCCTAGTGAAGTGGATGTTCAACAAAGATGTAAGGGAACATCATAATGGATTATGAGCAATGGTGCAGTAACAATAAAAATTTAAATTTCCCTTTATTTTCTAATGTGTGGGTTGGGTGTCAAAGTTTCGGCCAAATACATACTGTAACTTATTTACTTGTACCATTTTGCAGAAAATAAGTGACCAGAACGACCAATAATGCATAAAAAATGAATAAATAATTAGAACTGTCAACAGCTACACACTGTCATTCTAAAATTTGCCATTTGTTTTACCTTTATATATATATATATATATATATATATATTTAATAAATTTATATATATATATATATATTTAATAAATTTATATATATATATATATTTAATAAATTTATATATATATATATATATTTAATAAATTTATATATATATATATATATATTTAATAAATTTATATATATATATATATATATATTTAATAAATTTATATATATATATATATATTTAATAAATTTATATATATATATATATATATATTTAATAAATTTATATATATATATATATTTAATAAATTTATATATATATATATATATTTAATAAATTTATATATATATATATATATTTAATAAATTTATATATATATATATATATTTAATAAATTTATATATATATATATATATTTAATAAATTTATATATATATATATATATTTAATAAATTTATATATATATATATATTTAATAAATTTATATATATATATATATTTAATAAATTTATATATATATATATATATTTAATAAATTTATATATATATATATATATATTTAATAAATTTATATATATATATATATATATATATATTTAATAAATTTATATATATATATATATAATTGTTAAAATTATTAATAAAATTATATAATAATATATATATATAAAATTTCCAGTACTATACATTAAACTTGTTATTGTTGTGAAGTCTCATATTTTTCAGTATTCACGTGTTGACATCTTTACATATATAAATACTTCTCAAAATAAGTACATGGCTTCTTTCTTCCCTTTATGCATGCTTGCTAAAGTGCCCTTCGTTGATTAGCAGTAAATTTTGTCCTACCATTGCACTGTATTGAATAACTAAGCTAACAGACTATATATCTTAAATTCAAGTTTATTTACATTGTGACTAGCAAAAGTTTTAACACCAATATTAATAATTGTTTAAAATTATTTATTTTGCTGCTTGGCAACACCAAAATAAATAAAATAAACTTAACTTACACCGGTCCTTGTCAATAATTGTTGTACATTATTGTGTGTGCACCATAGGCTATAAACCTTGTCTGTTTTACAGTTATGAACATGTTTCACATTCCTAGGAGGTCTCGGCTCCCGACCAAGACCTGGGTTCATAAAGCAGTTAAGTGCTTACTAACGTGTACATCTTTCCTCAATCTTTGACGGCTTTGGTTATATTTATTAAACAGTTTACAAGCATGGAAACTTCTCCATCAACTGTTGTTATTGTTATAAACAGCCTCCTGGTGTTTTGGAGCTCATTAACTGTTTAATAATTGTAAACAAAGCCGCCAAAGATTGAGAAAAGATGTATAGGTTCGCAGGTGCTTGCATAGCCGCTTTATGAATCCTGGTCCAGGTTGAGAACACTTTCCATGACCTAGACATTTAGACAAGTTAACAGTGGCTTAACAAAAACTGTCAAATTTGTCTAAAACACACATCCACAATCATTAAGAGCATGTAAAAAATCAAACCACTAACACTGCATAATATTTTATATAAAACTGTAACAAAAGACAGACGGAAATTAGTCTTCACAGAAACTAATTGGATTCATGCATGCCTGCGTGTATGGGGATATATATATTTTTACCAGTGCCCCTTTATGAACCATACTGGTCCAGACTATTTTTAACAATTCAAACACACACATTCTTACCATGAACTACCTTGAGTAAATTTCCTGCTCCTCACCATCTGTATCCGAGAGCAAGGGTACCTTTTGGTAACTTTCTGTTGGTGATAAGGGAATGGGCTGCTGAGGTGGCTTGGGCGGATGTACAGCCTTCAGCACAACATGGAATGTGATGCCAATGATACAAAGGACTAACCCCATCTGTTAGAAAGAAGAGATTTAGATTTGTAATCTATTAATGTGTAAATATACTGTATTAACACATTTTATATGAAATGGCAGTTTACTAAAGTAAGATGTTAAATCATTATTAGTACAGTTTCCCCACCTTCATGTGGGAGGGAATGCATCACCCTGCAATACTGCGTAATGTTCATGCAATTGCATGCAGTCGGCCAAATAAAACCTCCAGGGCACGTGCTCATGGCAATGCATTAACAAAACATTTGTCATTAATAGCACAGTGTGGAAGCTGATATTTACCTAACAAGATTCATCTCAGGAGAAGACACCATACAATAATGATAAAACATCTTGAGAACATGTGCTCACCTGGTTCCCTCACACCAAGTATTTCCACTATTGCTATAAGGAAATTTGATAATCATACAATCGGCAAAAATACTGAAACTTACTAAATTTATGAATGTCAGATGTTCACTGTAGACATAGACTGCTAGTGACAGTGTCATGATCTCTTTGGCCACGCCCGCAATAGAGAATGTAAGGGATGAGGTGTAAACGACTACAAGGTACTCCGAAACCTGTAACATAGAAGTAAAAACTAACATTATATCCATATACTATATAAGTTTGGTTACTATGTATCTTTGAACTGTTTGGAGAAAATTTTATAATAATCAAATTATAATTCATATGTACAGGCAGTTCTTGATCTGTGCAGGGATTACATTCCTGTAAAAATCCTTTAAAAAACAAACATATTAAACAGAGGAATATGGGAAAAATTCCACAACACCAAAATGATAACTTTTTATGCTATTTTACTCGATAAAACATCTATTTGACCATAAATATGCTAGGAACCATTAATGCTATGTAAAACTACCAGGACTATGATGGACTTGCAAGATCTTAGTGATAGAGATATATCTAACAGGTAGGTAACTTTAATATTATCCCTCGGAATATAAAATATACTGTTCTAAGAGCAAGAGAAGAAAGACTCGGGAGCAAGTGTGAGAGTGGTGCAGTGACGACACATCCAGTTCCATCATGTGTGTTGCAACAATAACTGATTCTGATTAAAATAGTGATAAAATAATAAAGGAAATTGCAGAAGGCCTATTGACCACCACTACCACTCACCCCGTCACCCAGCACACACTACCCACCCCACCCATCCCACCAACCACCACATCACACCACCCCACCCCACCCACCCACCACATCACCCCCACACCACCCACCCCATGCCCCACCCACCCCATGCCACACCACCACACCCCACCACACCACCCAGCACACCCCACTCTACACACCCCACACCCCACCACCCACCCACCACCAGCCAGCCCACTGCAATGTGTGGATGTAGAAAAGAAAAGAGCAGAGTATAAAGTTATAGTGCAATATCTGTGTAGTGCGATAAAAGGCGCCATCAACAGACACTAATGTGAACTCTGATTTCATAAGCAACCAGGCCACTGGTCTGCTACCTTTAATGTCTGCTATTACTTACATGATATTTCTTACAACTACAATATAGTGCATGTCAAAGGTTCTTCAATTAAATAAATAATAAACACTGTATTTTGCTTAAAATTCCTTTGTACTCTATAGATTACCTATTGTATTCTTTTAAACATTGTTTTATTTGAGTTTGAAAGAATGAGATAATCATATCTTTTAGCAAATGCTTCTCTTGATTTAATTCACATAACATTATCATCTAAAGTATCTTCACATTTTAAGGAGATGAGGAGAGAGATACTATGGAAACCTACAACTATTCCATTCTTGAAAGTAAGGTAAATAATGTATCAGCTACACTTTGATGCAATTATATCAGTGCCTCCAATAAACCTGCCTAATTATTCATAGTGAAAATACATAAATATAAAAAGGTTATCAATCGTGATGACGTACCTCCATGAAGAATGCAAGGACAGCTCCAAACATAACTCTACCCCACATAAACAAAGTGTCAGACGAGTCAGTGAACCGAAATCCATATTCACTTGCTGCTATTTCTGTGCCTGGAAAGTAATGTTAATACATAAACACAAACACGACTATGCATGCATGTATCCGACACATACACTTGATGGGTGTCAAGGGGATGGGGGTGGAACATGTGCATATAATTACCCGAAGTGTAGTTGCAAGAACAATGTTCGTGGTGTGTTAAGACAAACGTAATATAAAATTTCAAGAACTTCACAAGTGAAAATGAGTTATATTGTTGATCTAATAGTAGTCCAGCATACACAAAAGTTAACTATTAAATATGACTTAAACAATTAAATAAATAGGGAAAACTATATTCAGCATAGCTGTTGCTCTGATTATAAGTACAGCTACACATATCACTAGCTAAACCAAAACACTGTAAATAGTGTCTTAAGGCGCTCGACTGGTGGTGCGCATGATGTCTTTTGGCGCTCATGTGTATATCATCAGATTCAAAAATACCTACGCATACAAGGGTTTCACAATTCTTTCCTTGGGCCTCCAGCAACCTTCCTTCATCTTGAAAAAATTATCCAGTCTCTGACTTTCCCTCTAGGGCCTTAGCAGGACTATGAGGACAATGTCTGGCACATCACCATCCAGTGTGTGAATGTGCAGGACAGTCATACTAAGCGCCATTGAAATTTTACCAACAACAAATGAGTAATAACCATTTACTGTATATATTTACAGGCAAAATGTGTGCCAGATGCAGTTACAAGATTTAGGCTTACATATATGCATACATTTATACACACAGATCTGTATATATATATATTTCCAAAGTTAAACATAAATAACTTTGACACATCAACGTAACACCACCTTTGACACATCAATACAGCTTGTTAGGACCAAAAAACTAAATCAAGAAATAAAAATAATTGCCAAAGTTACTCCCATGCAGCACCTCATTTCTACTGAAGAAAAACAACAACTCTGGGCCACTACAGCTAAACTACAACAGGTAGAGATTTCTTACTTGATGTCTAATTAACAATGTTAAAAAACTCCATGGTGTTTGCAATTTTTTTGTCATATTTAACAGGTGTGCAGTGCAGTGGTTAAGTGAAGCCCAAGAAAAAATGATGTAGCAATGTCATGAAAATTATGGGGGGTTGGTATAGGAGCAGGTGACACTGGGATGAACCCTGACTGGCTTATGACACTTCCATACCACCACCTTGCCCCTCCATCCATGTGGCATCTTTGAAAATCAGGCGACGCTAGCCTCAAGCAACTGGCTGTCTACTTTGGACCGAGACTTTCTATTGTGTAGATATTAGACATACCAATTTTGAAACTCCTAATAATTTGCCAACTCCTTTAAACTTCCAAATGATTCTTATATTTAGTGCTAGATAATTAGTGCTATGACTGATTAAAATTTTACTCACATATTAACTGCTAAAGGTATATATAGTATTTGTAATTTAACTATTAGTAGCATATATCATAGAATTAAGGAAACACAAACAGAAGCACTTAATATTCTCCAGCCACCAAGTTCTGTTCCTACCTTCCATGATGATGGCCAAGGGTAGGAGGGACACAGTCATCCACGGCTGTATGTGATACACCATGTCAATGGGGTTACTCAGTCCCAGCTCAGATTTCTGCATCACCAGCTGGGATAATGTCCATCGCAGACCACTGAAGGGAAAAATAATTTGCTAAAAAAGATGGTTTAATTTTTCTATTGATTTTATCAAATTCTGAAGATCTGAAATTGATTTTTAGTGTTCAAACTACTCTAAATGTTAAATTAAATATTCTATATGTAGTACATACTTTAGTATATATGCAATATAAATTTATTTTCTGAACAATTATGCCTGGTTGTTTTCTGAAGGACAATATGAAAAGATCCCTGCAATACCAATCCAGAGTGTTGGGCTGCCTGAATACACGATACTGATCATATGACATAGCGGATCTTTCCTATGAGAGCAACTGAATGATACTGATCACAAAAGGGCCCCTTTATATTGACTCAAAGCCTTATTTTCCTGAGCACACTGAAATAATCTATGCTGATTAAGCAAACAATGAAAATAAGTATAATACCTGAGTAAAGAAGCGGTAATAACAAGAAGAAAGCCAAAGAGGTTGAACTGTGTATACTTGTACGTGAAGAGGAAGAGCCCACTAGTGATGAGCACAACCAGGATCACTACGCTACATCTCTGAAAGCGTAAACTCCAATCACAATCCACATAAATATGTATATCTATAAAATAAATCAGCTTGAGCATAATGACAACTATTTTCAGATTTTAAAATAACTGCACATTGAATCAAAATATCTATACCTTGCTCTAAATCTATGATTTAGATCTAAATCCTAATCACTAATGTGTAATTCTTAAATGTCTTTAGTTTAATACTTAAGCTGACAGCATTTGCTTCACCATACTGGTGGGTGACCTTAGTAGCTTAGTGAAACAAACGTTTCCTCTCCAAATGTTTAGTGTACATGTTATATGCAGACTAAGCTTAAACTGCCACACACACACATAAAAGTTATTATTCTCCTGCTGATAATTATAATTGGGGTTAATATGCCCGACAACCAGCTTGTGAGCACTAAAACTAATAGGTAAAAACGATACAACACGTGATCAAAATACTTACCATTTCTTCCAATTTGAAGATAATTGCAAATATTAAAATAAATAGCAGAGCTGTAGACTTGGACATTGTATACCTGAAAGTAAGCAAATACAAAGTCAGATGGTAATATACTAGTTATAAAATGCTCTCAATTCATAATATCTAATGGTTAAGATGCCAGACATCAGCCACAACTGGTCATCAAACCCTCCGGCAATAAAAGAAATATTACCTTCATTGTGGTAGAAAACTTAACCAAATATCAGAAATGATTTAAGTCTGTTAGTTTTATATGTGCAAATGTAGACAACATTTGAAATTAAATAATAATTCAACATATGTTCATCATGATCCAGATTTTTGTAAAGCTGATTATGAGGGATTAAGGCAAGCCTTGGTGTGTGCAGATTGAGCAACCTTAAACACAGAAGATGGGCAATTATTAGCTTCCCTTAGTGCTTTATAAGGAATGTGTTCTCAAGCTTATGTAAGATACCTTTAATGTAGAGTATTTGAATAGTTATTAAAAGTAGTCCAGTGTCACCATGTTACCTGATGCTGAATTATAATAGGGTATATAGTGGGCCCTCACTTGAATGAACTAATGAAGTAGAGCCAATTTGTTTCATCTGCCATGTACTTAAATGCTATCCAGAGCTCAGTTAGCATTGCTTAGGACCATATGAATTGCACATAGCAATCTATATGGTCCTGTGGTGACATTCTCAAAGGTAAAATTCCCTGTCTAACTTCATAAAAATCCTTTTGCCAAGACTGTAGGTAAAATTGGGGCTATGTTCACGCTTCCCCACTTCATTGTATGATATATTTCCACATTAAAATTTAATGAGCAATTGTTCACTCAGTTGTTCAGTCTGACCAGGTCATGCTGAAGGATTTGATCACATTCTCTCTGCAACAATACTCTGTAGTCTGGAACACTTTTTCTTAAGTTCATCATAGATTTCAGCTACAAGTTTGGGTATAAACAGTTACCTAGACATATATGTTAGAACATGAAAACAAAACAATTATCAAGAAACTCATGAATTTGTTTTTTTATTTAATGTATGGACAATGTAATTTCAATGTTTGTGGGGAAATGAAAATATAGTTTGCCCAAGTATGACCAATGCAAAGAAACATTATAAACATATACAGTACTGTATATTCATAATTTCTCACAAGCCATTACTTCTATGGACAACTGTAGTTGACTATTTAGGTAATCACAATAATGTACAAGCTAGATAAATGTATTGTAATTGCATTTCAAGTGTTATACTTACAAGGCTACGGTTATAAACTCAAGCGACCATTGAGAGAGGCCAATATCAATGCCGGCAGCTGCTCCAGGAGGTAATAATCTCCTCCAGTAAACATCCCAGGGAAGCAACACCCTGGGGATACCCGTTGCTAGAGTGTATGTTGCCCGGAATATTCCCGCTAGCACAAACTTCATAAACAGGTGCACTATTACTACTGTTAAGGGAAACTTGAAATCCTGCAAAATAAACAAAAAATACTATTGTTAAGAGCATACATTAAACTTTAGAAACTTCTTCCCTATTCTAAAGGAAATGTTTATATACAATCTTCTCTGGCTATTTCTGATACTGTACTTTCAAGTTAAAAAAACTAGAATACCTGAACGTGTTATGTAAGTGAAGTGCATCTACCACTGTAGTGTGTATACCTCTGTAGTGTATATACATCTGTAGTGTATATACATCTGTAGCATATATACCTCTGTAGTGTGCATACCACTGTAGTGCATATGTTATTGTAGTGTGTATACACCACTGTAGTACAATACTGCACATGGACTCACTTCACCGCAGATTTTCCAATACTTTCTGTAGTAAAAATTAAGCAAGAACAGAATCCTTCCATTGCATCCAGATGTTAAGATGATGAAATGTCGTTGAAGTTTCCCACCATACAGTACTGTACCGTAATTCCATTTCTTTACAGTAATTACCCATAATAATAAAAATGTTAATTTACAACTTACCCTGAATAATTTTTTCTGATAAAATGTGAGGCCAATGGAGCATGTGTAATACATTAATATGAGAATTAGTGTTCGTATGCAGTGAACAATAACCTGACCAATTCTTCGGCCACCACGACGCCTCGTTAGCCGGCCTTCTGTCACCTCCAGCCCCGTCATGTTCACAAGACCTGATGGGTAAGGTAAATGAATATACTGTACAATAAAGAATGTTTACAATGTGCAATTTTATTAAATATACGAGAGAACACACATTTTGCTCTTATTTCCACATATGGAACTGCATTTTCATTGCGAATTTAAATTATGTCATTCCTTACAAATCAGTTGTTGATAAAATAATTAGATATGGTTAAATTGCATGAGGGCAATTCAGTAAGGCATCACTAGGATGGTATACCTCGGTATACAATGTGATTTGAAATTGAAATTGAAATTGAAATAAGTTTATTGAGGTAAAATACACACAAAGGGATGAGGTAGCTCAAGCTATTCTCACCCCATTCAGTACAACGTGTTAATATATACATAGACACACATCACAAATAAACACATTACCAAACATTTTGAGAGGTAAAAATATACATTTCCTCCTTCACAAGTAGTATGTTATCAGACGTACACACAAATACTTTTATGACCTAGGTATACTGTATAGACAAATTGCAAGACACCTGCAGATAATTCAACAAAATATTACAATCTTGGTGCAAAATTCTTATATCTCTCAAGAATATCATCAACCTTTCCGTTGTGACACATCCAGGCTATTTGTTCAGGAACAGTCCTTATCTCAGTGTTTCTATATACACTAATCAACGGACAATCAAGAATATAATGGGCAAGGGTGTGAGACCTTAACATACCACATAGTTTACACTTCGTGTCATTACCATGAACATCTATCCCATATTCCCAGTAATATTTGTACCCAAGCCTGAGCCGCATGTACACAGAGTCACTCCAAGCATTTCTCCTTTTACCATAAGTGAAATGGGTGTTTTGACTCACATACATGTAGTGTTGCATGGTTTGACTACTCTCATACATTATCTCTCTCCTCTCCACTCCCGCCTGTGCCTGAATATTTCTGATTTTGCTTCTTATTTGTCTCATTGTGAATTCACATTCAATGTCAACTTGTGGTTTTGATGTGGCACGTTTGGCCAAGTCATCCGCCACCTCGTTGAGCACTATTCCAACGTGAGATGGAATCCACATGAATTTCACACTATAACCTTTCAGCTGTATCTCAGTTATTCTTCTCTTACAGTCCTCCACTATAGACATGAAGACTGGGTTTCGACTGTTTAAGGACTCCAGTGCTCCTCGGCTATCGACAAATACAAAAACATTTTTGTCGTCATGACGTACTTCCTCCAAACACGCCAGAATGGCCTGCAGTTCAGCTTGTGTGGATGATATATAATTACTAAGCCGGAGTTCAATTATCCTGTCCACAGTCCCAAACTCCGTATAATCCCTTATTAGGACACCACACCCTGCCCTGCCATCCTCCGCCACCGACCCGTCGCAATATACATGTAAACTGTTGCCTCTTGGTAACCGAGATATCATGCTTCCATACAAACACCGTAATTGTCCCGGTTCATGATGAATCTTTTTCACCTTGAGGGGTACAATTTCGACGTCTATTTTCTGTACTTTCCAGGAAGCAGACATATTACACTTTCGAGAGGGTTTACAGCAGTCAAGTACGTCGTATTCCCTGAGGTCATGAGCTAATCCTCTCGTATAGCGTGTCTCCCTCAGTTTCCTGGAAGTGTGTACGTCACTCAAGCAGGTCTGAACGCTCTCAAACAGCTTATCCCCTCCTTTTCTCCGCATGAAACGAATAGATACTCTAGTGTTAATGTCACGGACTCTATCAAGGTAAAATGTATATAAAATGTATGTAAGGTAAAATGTATATATATATGTAAGGTAAAATGTATATAAAATGTATGTAAGGTAAATGAATATACTGTACAATAAAGAATGTTTACAATGTGCAATTTTATTTTATATACGAGAGAACACACATTTTGCTCTTATTTCCACATATGGAACTGCATTTTCATTGCGAATTTAAATTATGTCATTCCTTACAAATCAGTTGTTGATAAAATAATTAGATATGGTTAAATTGCATGAGGGCAATTCAGTAAGGCATCACTAGGATGGTATACCTCGGTATACAATGTGATTAATTACATGTGTTATGCTTACATGGGGGTGTAATGGAGATATGGGTGAGATAATGGGTGAGGGGGAGATGGGGTTTGAATGGCACTTCATTATTTTGAACACATGACTTTTTAATAGTTTAATATTAATTAAAATGCACACAAATGTTCTGTCATTTGCATAAAGAAAAAATCACAAAAATGGCATTAGTGATGATGGAAACTAAACCTGGATTAGCCCAATCGATTGAGGTTTCACTGAAAAGCACAATTCAATCTGGTGTAAGAGGTCAAGGCACTGTTTAGGGCTGGGTGAAGGGAAAGTCCAGGGATAAGAGTGAAAATTCTATACAAATCAGGATTTCTTGTTGGATATGTCATATGAGTGATATGAAAATAACATTTCACTACTATAGTTAGATGCAAGACAGAACATGGGGGGAAATAAGTGGTCCTATAACTGTATCTTCCCTAACATTACAGTACTGTACTCTAATCATGGAAAACACAGAGCATACAATGTTTAAAATAAAATATTATGTTTCATTTCCACTTGGAACGTCAAAACACTTTGTCCATCCTTATTACATTGAGTCATTGAGCTTGTCTTAGATAAAAGAGGTATCCGGTGCTGATGTATAAGAGACCGAGATTGAAATAAAACAAAAATGTATAATCAGGTGCTCTTGTAGATTTCTTTCATATTAGTTGGTGCAATTAAGACTGTGCTTGTTAGATAAACCTACAGAGCTTGGGAGGAGAGAGAAATCATGTATTGCAACTGTCAACATAGTATTACCCAATGAAATTCTCCTTCACTGCAAAACTTAACTTTTGCCCATTTTCATATAAAAATAGTTTCAGTGTATTGCAATAGTTAATAATCAAATCTCGATCTTAAAACCGACTTTCATGACCTGGTACGTGCTGCCATCTGACGGAGATGGCACAAAACACACAGCTTATCTCATTGGCCACCCTTAAAACAACTTATTTAACTAGAATTATAACATTTAAACAAAATTTACAATGCAGTGTACTTACGTACATTATGGTGTGTTGAGCATCATAACAAGCAATATAAACCTATTATAAACTGTATACAAATTTAGCATAATAATGATCTACAAACTTTATGATTTTTTTAATTGTCTAATTATGTTCTTCTCAATGTCTCTCTTAGTCTTAGAAGTACAGCATATTACAAGCTTCTTTATAGTACAGTACATATCATAATAGAAATAAAAACTGAAAACAGTAACACATACTTGTCTATATTCATGATGATACTCTATACTATAGGGACACTTTCCCGTGGTACTAAGTGTGCAGTTTGTGGCTTCATATAATATACAAATACTGTATCTACTAAATAGCCACTGTAATGTGATCCTTTACTATACTACAAATGTGAATCCAAGTGATTATAATATAATTAACCAGAATTAAATGTCTTCTCTCATCTCAAAAATGACCTTACCCGTACCCACAAATAACTTATCAATTCTTTAAATAAAATTACACAATTTATCAGGCAATACCACATACCCAGTACATAAACAAAAGAAAATAAATTACTCGACTTAATGTGTTGTATCTGGGGAGATTTGCTGAGAAGGCTTGTAACTGTTCCACCTGATATTGGTGCTTGTATACTTGTTCCATCAGGTTGTGGTAGGTGTAGTGATTCTAACTCGGGTCCATCTGGCTGTGGTGTAGTGACAGTAGTCTTGCTTGACATAGTTCTTGTGGGTATAGTGATTGTGGCCCTGTTCCCTCCATTTCTGGTTGGTGTAATGGCTGTGACCCTGCTGAGTATACGAAGTTCCACTCCCACAAGCCCATCGTGTTGGATAAATGCTATATTATGTGAATTCTGTCTCTCTAAGAACTTTCATGTTGATATCACAAAGATGACTGGACAATATGGAACAAAAATGCTTCGTGTAGCTCAAGAAACCATTACTCAACATCTCACCAAGGTAACCGACTTTCTCAAGAGTAACACAAACAGAAAATAACCAGCTTCTCATACACCAAACCCCTGAATCAGTCGCAATGTTTACATGCTAGTCAACTGTAAACATTTATCAAGGTTCATACAATATTGTTTCTCCCCCCAAAAATGGTAATGGACTGGCTTTTTGAAATAGCCAAAAAGGGAAGAAAAACTGTAGATGGTAGTTATGCAAATTCATTTCAAACATCTGTACTGTATGCTCATTTCATATTCATGTACTGTACATACAAAATTACTTCTCATCTTGCTAATTGTTTACAATTAATTTCATGATTAATTAAGACACCGTTTGTAACATTTTATGATCTGCAGTCAAATTTGTGCTGGTTTAATCTTTCTTTTTTTTTTACTAAATCTCTAAAAGTTTCTCATACATAGTTTGACACCAACCACAAGAAAAACAATATATCTTATATCATTATTCAGAATTTTCTGTCTCTTCAATGTTTTGCTCATACATACAACTTTTTTCTACTGCAGAATATAAACGTACCCATTTGCACCCATAAACAATTGCAAGCAGCACTAAGTCCTCAGCTGGTGAGTTGTATCACCTATGAATCTAGATTTTATCTAGCAAATAAAGTTAACTACACTTCAAATTGCTTTCGGGTTAAACTGATAATCTATACTAAACTGAATGTAAAGATTTTAATTTCACAAATGTCAAACAATTGCAATGACTGCAATAAACCCGAGAATAATGCACACAACACAACCAAACCGAGCCACAACAGTGTGAACAGTGTAAGTAATATTGCAAAATGCAACAGTTAACAGATGTACAAGCCAAGCATCAGCAGCAATATGAAACAATATACTTACCACTTGCTTCATCTGCTGAGTCTGTCTGCAATCTCCAACCTTTTGCCTCCATGACAGCAGCTGTAGTTGACTTCTTAATAAGTACTTATATTTGAGCTCAGTTATCTCCCTTAGAAGATCTTGAGGTTGTAAAGGTGATAATATACTTTTTTCACTGGACTGCAATTAATAACTTTCGAAGCAATGGATTTTCTTATGACATCCGAAATTCAGCGAATGACAAGTTTTACAACTAGATAACTAGATAACTGGAAACTGAATGACAGCCTTTCACTGCAAATTCTCTTAATAAATTGAATAACTATAAGCACAAATTTTTGATTACCTTTGGAAATAAAACAGAAGTAAGATCCCTTGCATTTAATAATATAAGAACGTAAGCAGCATTTGTCCAAAGATATTACAACTAAATGAGGTTCACTATCAAATTTAGCTCTGGAATTTTAGTACCTAAATTTAGTACAGTAAATTTACACTTAAAAAGGAAAAGCACAGAACTGTAAAATATAACATGAACTGGCAATTCATTTAAATACAAAACAGGATAGTAAACTGAACTTTACATTACTCTAATAGTTAATTACAGAAATACTGTTAAGTCATTTAATTTCATGGTATACAGCAATTAAAAAGTCTTACGAGTTTATACAATTCACTGTTACAAGGAGTTTACTGCACTCCTGAATCTTCTCAGAAAAAAGAACCCTAATTCTTTACAGAAAAGTAGCACATGCAATTCCTTTCCACATGCACGACCATCATCAAAACATTTCAATACAGTATCTCAATGTGTCCAAAGATACAGTAATTACCATGAGAAAACACCAAGCCAGCATGATTATATAGAGCTCGGCAGGGATGTGTGCTCAAGGAGCTGGTATATGAGGTTGAAGTAAAGGAATGGTGACCAACCACTTGTGACCATCAGGAATTGAACACCGACCTTGCAAGAAGCAAGGCTGTCACTGTACTGACCAAAGTGATTGGATACTGTGTAGCCAAACAAGCTTAATGTAATCTATTATAGTATTCTTACATTTACATTGTTTTGAAACTTAAAATCCATGAAGGAACAGGTAACTGACAAACTTAATTGTGAATTGAACAAAGTTATAAAATGGGTGACCTTGCAAGGTTTGAAATGTAACAAAAGTATTTCCCTAAGCCTTTAACTTTCACACTGGAGTTTTGTTGAGCAAATGGTTTTCCTGGAACCTAGCCCTCATGTCTGGCTAAGGTTGCCTGTATTTACCAAAAAAAAAACCTAATAGATACATTTGTCACACTAAATTCTTTGAAACATTTACTATCCTGTAATTGTTCTCCTTTATGAGATGGTAGATAAGTTACAGTTAAAATATACTGAATGAATGTACAAGAGGCCACATATCCATAGGAATGACTTAAACAATTATAAAATGAAATGCCATGGTGGTCATTCACCCCTTTTTTGTATTATTTTATGCGAACATAAGAATATATAAAGCTGCAGAAAGCCTATTGGCTGATGCCTATTGATATACTGAATCTGTATAGAATAGGTCACCAGATTTTCTACACCTGACCAAAGTACGAGATAGTGGCCTGACTACAGAGCACAAGTGCAACAGAACCAATAGCTAAAACCTGTTACACCATTCAAGAAAATGCTAACGACGATATAAAAGATCAACATTTTCAATCAACTTGCTAACGCTCAACCTATGAGTATACAGTAATGCTTTGTAAGCAACATACAATGGGTCACACAAGTACCAACAGACCATGAGTGAAGTGGCAAAGGCTCAAAAAGCTAACCAATTGTTGTGCACCACGTGCTCGCATGAAGCATAATATATCCTATATACTGAATGCTTAAACTACTGTGCTCTAGAAAGCAAAGCCTCTTAAGAGAAAAACAAGTAAACTTGACCATGAATTGTACCCCCCCACTGATCGAACCGACATGTGACACAATCCAGGAGAATGTGAGGTAATGTAATCAGGGTACCCCCGAGGTGCATACAGTGCTACCACATGCTGGTTGGTGGCATAGGTCAGCACTTACAACTGTTTCAGTGTCATTCACCTTCGAGCCCTTATCACAAAACTGAATTCATCCTAGACTAAATTTCCTCATGTTCTTTTTCTTGTAATTTTCAGCAACTTTTTTTCTTATTCTCCCTTGAGCTTAATTTTATATATAATAATTCATTTTATCACACAAGGAAAAAAATTTATCCCAACAACTTAATTTACCATTGTATGAACCATTCATCCATTTAGCACTGGTGCAGGTCATCAGTCAGACAAGAAAGCAGCTTGTGATGGCTCTCTTTTGGAAATTACTTGTATTGCCAAGAGAGGGCTTGATAAGGCTTTAAATATTTATGAATGTTTCTATGTATTTTTGTATGAATGAGCAATCTTCATTGACTCCGTACCAACTTATTGTGATGCTGCCGAGACAATTTATAATTCCCAAGCCAGTGGCAAGAATGTTGTCCTGTCTTACTGTTCATGATCCTAATCATAAGACAGTAGATTTTACTTCAGGAGGCAAGCAAATGTGATACTGTATATATTGCTTTTTGCATACTGTACCAGTATATTTTATCTGTACATTAACGTATTTATCTTGAACTAAAAACAAAGAAGTTACAAATTAATCCCACATAAGGGAAGTCTGTATTTTTTAGTATACTGTATAATTAAACTGTTGTATCATATGGAGGTTTCTAATATGACTACCAACTTCAAAAAATTAACATAAGGCCCTGAAATAGCAAAATAATACCACAAATAAAGTTTATTGTCTCATTCAAATATAGGGTTAATAGAAGCAAATAGTGTACAGTGGAGTGCTGTAATTAGACTAGATCAACTCCCATTATTAGTAAACAAAATAAACTAGGTACAATAGGCACAATACATATCACTGTACAGTGCTGTAACTATTCAGAAATAAAAAATACTGTATGTTAAGAACACTTATCCATTGAGAAGGTAATGAAAAAAGTGCAGTATTGTAGTTATATTTGAAATAAAGTATTGTACAGTCCCATTCAAACAAACATTTCTACAGGACCCCTTCCCAGGCCAGAGAACTACTGTACTGTTCATTAGAACTTTAATATTTTCTGTTATTTTATGTTCAGAATAAATTTAGCACATATTTCTGCATAATTTATTACCAACATCACAATTTTTTTTATAACGAAAAATAAATTGTTTATATTTGTCTTGTTATTTTGGGGATCCCACCCACATTTCAGACCAGTGAATGCACAGACCCACTCCCCCAGACATCTTACATAATTTTCTATGACAACATATCACAATGGTCAAAACAGAATCCATCCACTTCATTTGGATTTCCAGTTGACCAAATCCCATTCCAGCTAAACTCAATTGTAGAGGCAAGCATCCTGATTAGCTTGCATGCATTCTATGTTGACATAGCAAAAGCATCATCAAATACTCTACGACATGCATCAGTTCATTACTATTAGCGAAATACCTTAGAAGTACAGTATCAATAACATAAATTAGATAAAACTGACAATAAAAGACCCTGACATCAATATGAAAAGTCAGCCATGCTGTACAAAATCAGTTATAGTTACAAGAAGAGTATTGTATTTACGAAGAACAATACAAATGAGCAAAATCACAAATAAGATACAGCAGAGGGCATTTTGATAAAGTTAAGCTGCTTGACTGAAAACAATGAGTAGGAATACAAGCTACATTATATAATGGCAATCACTTTGGAGGAACAACCTTTCAAGTTTTTCTGCAAGTGACAAAATTAGACTGTCATTCATACTCACACAAAAATAGCCAGTACCTGAGTTCATAATAGGTTTCAATCCATCTCTAGAACCATAACATGATGTGTGATGACCATTTACATGCCATTAATTTAGGCAGGGATGCTCCACCAAAAATATGATGAGAAGCGATCACTTGACAATTCCCGGCTGTTTTGCTGGAAGGTGTGTTAATATATTAAATCTCTAATCAAAACAAAGGAGTGATTTCCATATACTGTATAAAGTATATGTAACTAAAAACTATTTAAAAAGCATCAACTATGTAATGAACAACCAAATGTCACATATCAAATACTGTACTATGAATAAAAATATTTTTGGTACGAATTTGCAATTTTCATGAAATGTTTCTTGAAATACATGAGCAGTTGCCAACAATACTTTAAAATTTAAAATCTTTGTACACAACTATTTAAATTATTTATTTATTTATTTATATATATATAAACAAGAGTTCTTACATTCTAGTATAGCCACTAGCAAGCATAGCATTTTGGGCAAGTCCTTAACTCTAATTTTCACACACACATCCCCAGGAAGCAGCCTGCAGTAGCTGTCTAACTCCCAGGTACCTATTTACTGCAAGGTGAACAAGGGTGGAAGAAACTCTGCCCATTTGTTTCCGCCTCCCTTCAGGGGATTGAACCTCGACCCTAAGGACTAGGGACCCCGAGTGCTGTCCTTTCATCTGTTAAGGCCCCCCCCCCCTCCTTTCCTTGCTTTAAACTAAATTTAAATTAAATTATTTTTACAATTTCAAGCATACTCTGAGGACATACAATATTTTCCAGATGGATGTTATAAAACTGTAAAGAAATTGGTACCTATTTCCTTTGCAAATGAAGGGAATTTGTAATTTGCAGTTGGTATAGTCCAGTCTGACTGCCTAGAGTCTTAAAATATAAGAACAAAAGAATAATTGCAGCAGGTATATTAGCCAATACAATGGCGCTCCTATTTATCCCCAACCAAACTCACTATGGTACTATATACTATGTCTGACCTAATTATAATATCTGGTATTGTTCCAAAATTCAGAATCTTATTTCCAAACAATATTTATTGAGATCTTCTCTGAATCTAAGCTTATCAAATTTGTATTCATCATTTTGATGAAGCCACTAACGCCATTACCAATATGAGAGCC